TCTGTTTTTCGAGCCCACAATTCGCACTTGAAAGGCAGGTGTTGGACGTCTTTGATGTTTCCGTCCGCATGGACTTGGCGTGGCTTGAGGCTTTCAAGGGACCGATGCGGTTGCCCAGACCTGTCGTTACAGGACCAGAGCCTTGGTTTGGACCGTCCGGTTGGCCGGGGTTCGCGCCTGGAGGTGGCGAATGTGAAAACGGTTTCGCATGTTCAGTTCTGCACCGTTGCACTGGGCGCTCCGAATTCCGTTCCAGCCAGGTACTACATCTAGCAGTTCCATTGACGCGGACAATGAGGCCGAGCATTCCCAATTCTGGCCATCAAATTGCGAGACGACTGCCTCAACCTGTGAGGCGCGGGTCCTGTGCCATGTGCTTGAAGGATGGCAGCAAATGTAGCAACACGAATGCACCCAACCGTTTCAATCACAACTCCGTGGTTCGCACATGTCGTTGCAGAACCATGCCCCCCCCGTATATGCCAAAGTGTGAAGTCATCAAATATGGCAAGGTCAGTGCTTTTGAGGCTGTTCACGTTTTCAGTTGATGAGGCATCATGCCAACATACTGGACAGGAGTGTTCAAATACCACTGGAAAAACCGCCTGGCGGTTTTTTGTGTTAAGTTGGTTGTTGTGAAGTCGTCCTGATCTGCTACCGATGTTCCCAGTTTGGCTTTTGGGTGTCCCAGCCAGCCGCTAGGATGATGAGTGGCAGCAAGAGAGCAAGAACTCCCGGCAGGTCGATCAACAGGCCCAGCCCCCCTCAAAAGCAAGGTGAGTCTGGTCGGTCACCCCATGGTCCATTTGGCTGCAATACGATCAAACCCGGTAGCAGTAGCTTACCCAAGGCTCTCGTGGGGATCCATGCTGCTCACTTTTTCGTATTTTGCGCCAAAGGTAAAGAACATGTCAACCCTTGGATTTTATCCGAGGGATCGTCATATGGAACACACACACACACATCAATCTGGTGGGGGTTTGTGAATCTGAGATATTCACAGTCCCTCATGTCCAGAGTATGCAAGTTGAACGGTGTGTATGGACTGTTGCTTCCAAGAGAGGACCTTCCATTTGCAGTGAAGTTCGTCCGATCGCTTTGTGCCATTGGGTCCATACTCCTCCGCAAGCCGGACCAGCTCCTGTCGTAGATGAATAGCCTGTTGCAGGCGATCAACCTCGCAAAAAGAAAGTTGTAGTGGTTTGACTCTACCCGTGTCCGTTTGGTATGAATTCCCATTGTCCGGCTTAAATTTTGCTTTGAGATGTTGATGTACACGCTTGCAGCACCAGGAATAACATCAACCCAGGCTTGGTTGATTGCCCCAGGGACCAAATTTGACGTTTGGTCGTCCGGACACCTAAAGTAGAGCCATGCGCCAGGTACTCGCCGCTCGGGAGGCAGCGGGTCGGGCTGGCTTCGCTTGGGTCATTGCCGACGCCAGACACTGCTCGGATTTCGGTCACTTTTGGTATGGGATGTATCGATGTGTTGCTAAGGCCTTGGCACTTCTCCTGTCAGGTTTTAAAGTGAGAGGGAGAACTCATCCAGCATGGCAGCACCTACCGTAGTGCGAGCAAGTCATGGCTTGTGGCGCAGTTCCAGTATCCATTGTGTTGGCTTTCTTCCACAGTGTAGAACACCATCCTTGGTTGCCAACTCCCACTTTTTTCAGACGGCACGACTGTGCCTATGCACTTGCCTGGGCACACTATGCATGATGCGCTGAGGAGCTTCTTCACGTGAAACCTGTAAACGTGTTTGTTACTCAAACATCAACGGTGCGATGTTGTCGAGGACACTGGGATCTGACTGACCATCTCAAGCTGCGGTGAACAGCCCGTTCATTGGATGGATACCATTTTTCGAAAGTTGCTGGTAAGTCTTGCAAAGCACATCAGCTTGGCCAAAGAAACTCAGGCTGAGCGGAAGGTGGGCTTCAGGTCAACAAAAGAGTCAAAGTGCGGGAGGCGGCGAATGCTGCCAACGGGTCTTGCATAATCATGCCATGGTTTCCCCTACAACAACCTTGCTCAAAGGAAAATTGCATTGTAAAGCAATTCTGATTCTGATTCACGCAGGGCGAGCTGTTTTGGGGTCTCTCATTTCGGGCTGGTGAATGCACCCGCCCCGTTTTCCAGCTTCACGGGATCACCAAAGGGCACGCGAGCATCCAGCGCATCCAGGCCGCGGCGGCTGGCAAGGGCTTGAGCGGGCTGACGACAGTCATGGCACCGCTGGCCTGCTTGATGCCGGGGTTTGGACGGTTTGCCAGGCATGGGGGCCGAGGAGCGAGGGAGGAGAATGCATCAGAAGAAGCCTGTCACGGGTAAGGTCCTTTTTTTGGGGGACCTCCAGGAGGTGCGGAATTCCTTTTGGTTGAAACAGACCAATATATGGTAGGGTCGAAGACAGACACACCTACATGGGGAGCTAAGGAGCTCCAAATACCACCACAGATTGCAGGGCAGTTGGCCCTCCGCATCGATCGGCGACTTGGGGCTTTGGGAAAGCCAGCCACACCTTTCTGATCATACTGCAATTGCCGTGCCAAGGAATGGAACCGGGGCAAGTGTTCAGAGGTGCGTTTCCTTGGACAATGGCCTCCTTCCGAGTTGGGTACGGGCTCAAAATCTAACCTCTCGACTGCATAGGCTTGGGGCATGGATGAGCCGAGTTTTCCTAAGGCGTCTCGTCGTTTTTTGAGGGCGCCTCTTTTTTCTGTGGTGTTTAAGGGGAAATCACAAGGAACGCCAGCATTGTTGGCGTACCAAGAAATGACACACCCAAGTTGGTGTCCATTTCACAGTCTTCACAACTCAAGGTTCCGAAGATTTGCTCGCGTGACACGGCACGACTTGCGCCTCGGGCTCCTGAGCTTTTCCGTCGCCAGATACGTAACGTTCCCAGCAGATACACCCAGCAGAAGTTGATGCGCAGCTCGGCAGGCGTTTTTGGCTCGCAGTCGTGAGGTGCAGGTAGATCAGCCAGGTTGATGCTTTCGGGTTCCTTATCGGAATCCGTCCCGAAGACTCTTATGGAAAAAGGAATCTCCGCTTGGAATATGTTTTTGGCTGTTCAACTGATTGGCTCTAGGTTGAGTGTCTTGTTGGTTGCTTTCTTCTACTTGTTAAGATCAGCGATGTTGCCCAGAGGGGTTGAGTTTCTCGTTCAGGGACCTCGTCGACATTCATAGACCAGACATAGTGTTGCCTATTGTTTTGGGTGGTGCAAGACACAGATTTGTTGGCTACAACTCCATACACCTGAGGAGCAACTCAAGGTGGGATTGACGACAAGGGCTTGCTTTACTCATGCAAGGGTGAGACGCCTGCAGACGGCTTGACAATTTGCATTGTACAATTTGCATTGGGAGATTGGGGCGCTTTTTATTGTGTCCTGTGTGTTGCTGGATTCAGAATATGTCGGGATAATTTGCAGGGTACTTGGTAAGTAACAACGTTGGTTATAGCCCACTTAGGAGACTTACAACCATGATAAGTGGGTTATAGCCATGGTCATTACCCACTTGCGAAGTGCCCTGCCCGTTTAACAGAGCTCTCGAGCGCAACAAACAAGACCTAGCAGACCGATTTGTTGGCTCATAGCTGAGCGTGGTTGATTCAGAATGAGGCCTGGTCCTACAAGAGCCCAGTGTGGTTGGTATGGATTGATTCACACGTTCCGTAAAGACATCCGGCCTGGGAGTTTTGAGCCCACTTCAAGGCTTCCGCCTTTCGCTGAGGAGAGATCAACAGCTTGGGCTTTCTGGGCCGGGCTCCCCATGCCATTGACATTGTCGACGGGTCAACGGGTCGACGGGTCGACGGGTCGACGGGTTTGTGGCCTTGGCCACCAGCTGGAAATGCAACAGTTTCCTATCCTTGCCGGGTTTTCTGGCGGCTTCTCCCGCGAATGGCTCTAGCGGGTGGGAGGGGGGGGGGTACTTGGTAAGCGGGTAAGAACTATGGTTGTAGCCCAGTTGCCACGGTGATAAATCTTCTAAGTGGGTTATAACCAGGCTTACAACCACTTACTAAGTACCCTGCCCCTTCAGTAGTGCTCCTTTTGGTAGGCCTAAAGTCTTTGGGAGGCACCTGACATCCCCTGACTTTCAGGGGACAAGTGAGCTGTTGGATATCTGGGGCCTAGCCTCTAGACCTTGCCCCGAATGGTAAGCAAAGATCGAAGGTGACCAAGGTATGTAGTCAGGCCCCTTTGGTGTGAAGGGACAGCAGTCGTTTGTTAGAGGGGTGCCAGGTTTGGACACACCCCAATGTTGCATCAAAGCCAAAAACGGGCCAAGTTGTTGCTCCATGGTTCTCGGTTGCAGTACATGCTCTGAGCCCCATGAGCGAGGGTTGCATGAATGGCGAGGCTTGATGTTCACGGTTCACCCCCCTGCAGTTCTCTTGGGTGCATGGCTTGGCAGGCCAATACGACTTCTTCTACTTGCCAGTGCAGCCGCATGGACCGTGCTCGGGCGCGAGTTGAGTGCCAAACCGAAAGTCATTGACCTACTGACCTACTCAGACAGTCGTGTGAGACCGGACCCTAGATGGACTTGCCTTGTTCTAAATCCATGAAGTGAAGGAAGCGAGCAGCCCCGGAAACAGCGGTTATGGACCATATGGGATGATAGGTTGCGCTTTCTGGTCTTTTGCGGATTCGGGGCCTTCAGGCAAGCGACCATGCAACCATCTTGGTATTGCCACAGGGCCGGAGCTTCAGGATGCTGTGCAAGCCAAGCCTTCTCGCGCGCCGAGCGTGGAGAGTCCAGGACGAGGGAATCGCGGATTCGCCTTCGTAAACTTCATTTGCCCCGAGGCTGGGCGTGGCGGGCGAAGGATCTTGGTTTGCTCGGATGGTCTGTTGGATACGTTCGGCCCTTTATCTCATATGCAAATCCAAGATTTAGTCAAGTATCCCCTCGATGTGAAAAGAAAAGGCCTGCATCTTGCCGCCATCAAGGGTGTATCTATCTGTATTTGCTCTTGTCCTTTCTGGCCACAGCTGGAATGCAGAGTCAACACTTTCGTGTAGGTTCCAAGATAACACACGAGAAGGGGCTTTCAGCCGAACCCCCTGGTCTCTCCAGGCGGAAGTCTGGAAAGTTAGTTCTGAAGCTACCAACTTCGCGAGTTCCAGTCGGAGAAATCCATGGCTTGCTTTTGTGCTGAGTGGCCCTGAATTGGAGTACTGGTTTCGATAAGCAGCTTGCCACATGAGGCAGCGTTCGACTGAGGGCTTACTTGATTGGACCATTCCGTTGCCACAATGCCCGGAAGAAGAACGCTTCAATTTGCCATTCTACCATTGCCATGTGAGAGCTGCGGCTCTTAGAAAGTCTGAGGTCAAATTGCTCTTGCTAAAGGCCTGGCAGGGTTTGCCACTTCGCATTTCTGACCCTGAGAGTTCATTTTGTTTGAGCCAACCGCCCTTGAGACTTTGTCCCAGGCTGCAGAACGGTTCTACATGGCACTGCATGGTCGCATGTCCGGCGCCCCAGAGGTAGGCTTTTGGCAGAGATGATTGGAGACAGTTGCTCGCGGCCAACTCATCCGATGTCCAGCAATCATCCTCTCTCCCTTGAGAATTTGCAGAGAACCTCAGCCCTCACGAGTGTATGCAACAGCCTGACAGTGGGAGATGGCATTGCAGGCTCTTGCCAGCTTTCGGACTCTCGCGAAGTATTCTATCATGGGGTAACTCATGGCTGATGACTTTGCTGAACCGGAGGTTCGGCCTGCGAAATCTCTAGGCTTCCACTTGGCAGTGTCGAAATATGGGACCTGCTTTTGGCGGGTGTTGAATGTAAGCTGCAGGAACACAGATCCTTTGCATAAAGTCTCCGATCTGTCATTCCCACCTAGATTCACGGTCTTGATGGTTAGCTCTCGCTGGGCTGTTTGCGCCTTGCACCCCGCGCATCTCGAAAAGTCGGCAAGCCCACTTCCTTCTTTGTTGTTGACATAAAGCTATTGCAAAGGCAATCTACCAGTCCCATTTGCCCCAACGTTTGAGACATCTCGTATGACCGCTCAAGAGGGCACTTTCATTGTAAATGTCACAATATCCTGCAAAGAACACCTAAACAGACCACTGCCCTCTCGTTGTCTGAAGTTTGACGTGCGAAGGAATGCAAATCAAGACCCACAGCGGGGACTGGACCAAAAGCAAGCGTTGAAACAAGGATGCATTTGGATACACTTACACTCAGTACTCAGTCGGCCATGTTGCAGGCAATTGTGCGCAATTGCATTCTATTTGGCTGAGGCCATAAGGGTCAGTGAAGCCTTCTCAACAGCGTGCCGTCAAGACACCACTCATTTGCTGGAGTTCCGAGTCATTTTCCCAGCTCGCTGCGTCCGACGGATTTTTGTCGCGCAGGTTCCGCCACTGTGCTGAAGCGCCGGCAGCTGTGATGCGAGGGTTCCTGGAGTCGTCTGCTGGGCGCTGACTTGAGAGCCAAGAATTTGACCGTCCATTTGACGGATCTGGGATGCTTACAGCATATCCAGGGCAAGGTGAAGGATGTTTTTGCCAGTTTCTCGTTCACAGCAGTGTCACGGCCGATCCCCGTGCAGTCATTTTGGTTAAATGATCCTGGAGCAGTCACCCATCGAATTTGCCTGGGGCTCAAAAGCTAAGCTGCGGTCTTGCCTGGAGTTGCCATCCTTGGCTCCCTAATTACCAGGTGTTTGCTCGCCATCAATTCTAAGTGGTGGACGAGAGCGTTCGCTTTCTACCGCTGGGATCTATTCATCCGTCCGTGTTCATTACTACAGGGAGCGAACCTGAAGGAAAATCGCAGTCTCAAATTTGTTTACGCCGACCTTATCCATCACAACAGTTTCTTGGAGCTTCATGTCAAAGACTTATCATATTTGCCCCGGGCTCAGATGGACTTCCTATCTTTTCTCGTTCGGACGAGCTGGGCGCCTTTGCCTAGCTGCTGCAACCAGCGGCTTCTTTTGGCCCGTTGAGTTGATCCCTCAGCCTTTTGCCTTAAGCCTTACGGAAGGCCTCCCCCCCTCCCCACCCCGTCCCCTCCCTCCCCACTCCCGTCCCCCTTCCTCCGTCTGCCCCTCCTCCCCCACCCCCGTCCCCCCCTTCCTCCCCCACCCCCGTCTGCCCCTTCCTCCCCCACCCCAGTCCCCCCCACCCCCCCCTTCCTCCCCCACCCTCGTCCCCCCCTTCCTACCCCCTTCCTACCCCCTTCCTCCCACCCCCCGTCCGCCCCTTCCTCCCACACCCCCGTCCCCCCCTTCCTCCCCCACCCCCGTCCGCCCCTTCCTACCCTCCCCTTCCTCCCTCACCCCCGTCCGCCCCTTCCTCCACACCCCCGTCCCCCCCTTCCTCCCCCCTTTTCAAGGAAGGGGGCTTGCAATGGCCAGCCCAGGCCTGCGGATTTACAAGGCTTCGAAGTCAATGCCTGCGCCCCAGGTTTGTCGCAGGCATCATCCAGGGATTGATCAATGGGTCTAGCCATGATATATTGATACCTACACGTATATATATATATGCATCTATATTAATACACACATGTGTATATATATATATATATATATATATATGCGTGTGTGTATATATATATATATATGATGTATACATGTAATACACTGCAAACACCAGTGCAACAGCTAAACAGGTAGGTTTTAAAGGGGGGGCACAAATCATGCATATGTATACATATATATATATATACATATATATATATATATACATATGTAGAAACAAACAACACATGATTTCAACGGAGACTACCCTCCCGACATACACCCCCAAGAAAGTGATGTCGAAAAAGGGCCAATGACTACTCAGACCCTCATGTCATTCCCTCCTTGTTTTCCCCAAACAGTGTGTCCACACTAAGGGGTTCTTCCGGCAAAAGAACAAGGGCCGGGGTTTGAGACCATTCTTCGTGGCATCTACGTACAATCGTGACTTTGTAACGTCTTGAAATGAGTTTGCACTTCTTCTTTCGGAGCTTCGAGTGTCGCCCTGAGTCGCCGCGACAAGGCAGTCACGCTTCTTCGTTTGGAGCTTGTGTTCGCTCCTAGTAGCGAGGCCTCTGTGAGCGTTGGGTCGCTCTCGCAGGTGCACGGCACGCATTTATGCAGCGTGTGTGAAGTTGCCGTCGCAGTGGCGCGGTGCACGGGTGTGTTGGATCGCTCTGGCTGCGGCGCGGCGCGCTGTTTGCCGTGCAGACTTTAGGTCGGTCGGATCGCTCCGGCTGAGGGCGGTGCGAATTTGGAACATAGGCGGGTCGGATCGCTCTCGCTGCGTGCGGCGCAAAGAGATGCAATTTCTCTGCTCAAGATCTGTAGCGTCAGGATCTCTTGGGCAATGTGCGCGGAACTCTTCGCGAGGTTTGCACGCACGATCCATAAAAGGATCCTCTATATATGGAAGTTCTCTGCCAGGATCTACAAGACCTCTTGCAAGTCTTTGCAGGTCCTGTGCTTTGCTTGAGCCTCTCATGGATCCTGTGGCAAATCTTGCCAAGAGACCCTGCAAAGATCCTCCCGAAGATATTTTGCGCTGACCCTTCGTAGAGAAGACTTTCTCAAGATGTCCCGCGCGGACCCTCTCAACGGTTCTGTGCGCAAACCTTGCCAAGAGATCCTACAGGAGATCCTGTCCCGCTTCAAGAGATCTTGCGCGGAGACCCTTTCAAAGTCCAAACGCACCTTTCCCCCGGTCCTTCTAGAGACCCTCCTAAGAAGTCTTACGCAGGACCTGCAAAGATTTCCTTGCAAGAGGTCTTGTAGAGGCATCGCCTGTTGTATGTTCGAGAAATAATTTGCTTTTGATGTTCGCATCTACCCCGACACGGTTTGGGGGTCTCTTGCGGTTTCGTTTCTCCAAACTAGGGGTGTCCCAGCCTACGCAGATTCTTCGGTTTGTTTTCGAACATTCTTTGCAACAATCTGCTTTTGCGCTACATGGCTGGCTCTTGATTTTTGGGCTTGGTCCCTTCCCCCATTTTTTGCGGGTTTTAAACAGAAACCAAAAGGAAAACTACCTTTTTTGGGGGTTCCCCTGCGAAAGAAACACCCGCATTTGTTTTCATCGCGTGTTTAAAAATGCAAGGTTCATTTGCGTCGTCGCACTGAAGATGCCCAATCCCACAGCGGGCACACACGGAGTGCTAGTTAGCAGGAATGCCAGTCACGCACGAGACTTGCAAGCCAGTCGTACAGCCCACGGCGCAAAATTCGGGGCGGAGTTTCCAGTTTCATTCCCCGAGTTCTCCAGCATTCGCTTTGCGTGTTCGCGAGCACCTGGTGCTTCAATTTCGGCATCCGGATTCCTTCGGACCAAGAAAGGTCCAAGCGCATCAGGCGTCGCTTCCCCGTGTTTGGGAGCCGACGCCCCTCAACACCTGACGGTTTTCCAATTGTTTCCCAAACAGTGTGTCTGCACTTAGGGGCTCTTACAGCAAGGGCAAAGGACCCTGATCTAACCCCGGCCTTACAGATCTTGAGCAGAAAACATGTATCTGTATGTTCCTCTCATAAATCCTGTGCGCACATCTTGCCAAGAGACCCTGCCCAGACATCTTGCGCAGAGAGCCTGCAAAGATCCTCCCGTAGATAGTTTGTGCCGGTCCTTCAAGCGGTCTTGCGCAGACCCCCTCAAGGATTCTGTGCGCAACTCTTGCCAAACGATCCTACCAAGAGATCGTGTCCAGAGATCGTGCACACAGCTCTTGTCAAGAAAGCCTTCAAGAGATCTTGCGCGGAGGTCCTGTAAACATCCAAAGACTCCTTGCAGCGGTCCTTCTTGGGATGTCTTACGCAGGCATCACGAGTTGTACTGTAGATAGTATTCACTTTTCTATTTTTCATGCCTTCCCCAACTCTGTTTGGGGCCTGTTGCCGCTGTATGTTTTGAGGGGTGGTCATGCGGCGAACTTTCATGAACATTGAAAATCATTGGTTTCCCTCGTTTGACGTGTTGTTCCTTCTTGTTCCTCTTGCCTGAGCCACTGAGGCAGAGCATTACGCAAACATGCGCCACAGCCGCAGTGCTAGGCCCGACCAAGCGCATGTGAAAACATTTGTTGAGCACAGCTGTTGCCCTTGCATTTTTCCGCGTGCGGGAAATTGTGATTCAAGGGTTCTGAGTTTGCCGGGTCGCTCACTTTTGAGATGAGCATGGGCCTAATATCGTTTGCTTGCTTGTGTTGTCCAACATTGCTGCGGCAGTGCTGAACTGCATGTGGGGGACTTTTTGCTGGGGCTTCCTTCTGCCAGGCGGCCACTGCAAGCAGGCCGCGCTTTGTTCTTCCGACCCCTGCCCCAGCACCTGCTTGATATCGTTGGCCGGGAAGCCCAAGGGGCGTCGGGAACGGACTGGCAAGGGAAGCCTGGCCTGTTCTAGATAAATGGGGATGAGATTCAAGATGACCACGACGCGCCTTTCGGGGGCGACTCAATCTAGGGACTTTTCATGCTTGGGTTTGACATGTTCAGAAGCCGCTCCTGTTGACAGACTGATGTTTGAAAGGATAAAGGAAGCCACTAGGAAAGGGAAGCAACAGAGGAAGCGCGGAAGGAAACAAGAGAGACAACTAATCGCAGAAAGACATGAAACAAAGCAGGCATGCCCAATTCATTCCGGGAGCTCCTCTTAGGTTCTGCTGCAAAGGTTGTGGACTGCGCCGGGTCGGGGAGCCTGGCGGAAGGTGGGTGCCCCGTTCCCTTGAGAGTGTTTCAGCATGCTTAACATCCTTGCAGGAGAGCAAGGGTAAGACAACCCATTCATGTGGTCCCCAATTTGAGAGAGCTCAATGAAAGTTTCAGTTTTCTTGCGGCGCTCTTTCTTTCCGTTACACTCCTTAGAGAATACGAACCACCATTTGGGAGCTTTGATTCAGCCACCACTTGTGCGACCAACGCAATGAGCAACTCCGCGCGATGCGAGAGGCAACTGGCGCCGATTCAGTTTGAGCAACTTGGCTTCACCAACTTTGATTCAGCTGCCCATGATGCTTCAGCTGAGCTTCAACAGCGCGCACTGAAGGGCCCAACTGACAAAGACCCTCGAAGACGGCTTAGCAGTTCGAGCATGCTTCTTTAGGGGATTCTCGCAGGAAACCAAACAAGATGTGCCCCAATGGACAATCGTTATTCGCAATGAGGCTCCTCTGGCTGAAAATTAGAACACTCCTCCCGGGTGCACTTCCTGACTGCATGACTCCTGCCCAAATTTGAAGTAAAAATCCCAATTGGCTGTAGCTTTCTGGAGCAAATTTGTTAGAACCTGTTTAGGATCATCCCGTTTTCGTCTCCCGGGCTTCTTGCTTGCGAGTTTTCAGTTGGTTCCGCACAGAGGCCATACCAAGCGACCAGCTTGGGTGAGGGCACCAGAATTACCAAGCCAAAACCGCATGCAGTGGATAGCTACGTTCAAGCTTGCAAAAAGAACCATGCCCTTGCTCTAAGATCGGACCTCCGACCTGTCATTGAACAAACACATGTCAATTTGAGGTCCATTTCTTCATTTCTCCCGATAAAAGGCCCGGAGTTTTGAAGCTTCGCGCTGTCCAACAGAGAATTTAGCTCCCTGGCCAGTCCAGAGCTCGAGTGCGTCGCAGGGAGCCTCAGAGCGGGTCTGGAAACGGGGACCCCTGGGACCCCGCCCAAAAAAAAACACAAACACACGTAGAGGGTTAAAATGTTGTTGGTGTTGGAGGGGGGGGGAAGGGGGCAGCAACACTAGGTGGTGTGCAAGAGTTGTTCCTTTGGCTTGAATTTGGCTTCCCTTGTAACCACCCCGTTTTGTTGCCAGAGGTTGGCTTGGCTCGGTCCGCTCTCGCTTGCCACCAGATGACCTTTCGTCATTTGATTTGGGTCAGCTGGTCAGGTTTTCAGGCATGGCTCGGAGAGAGCTGGCGTCGTTGGACCGACCCACCCAGTGGCAAGGCTCAACTTACCAAAAGGTGCCTTGAAGTCCTTCTTCCCTCTCTCTCTCTCTCTTTCTCTCTCTCTCTCTCTCTCTCTTTGGCTCATTCCAGTTCTTTCCACACCTGGATTTCCTTTGCCTTGAAATTTGAGAAAGGAGGACATGTGTTTGTCCACAAAGCTACGCTCTGGATTTGTGCACACCTGGATGTCGATCTGCTCGGGATTTTGGGGGCTTTGGGCCTAGCGGCATGTCAAAGAGAAAGTGCAGTTGAAGAAGGGTTTTTTCCAATCATGTTCTGCTGGGCTATGGTCTTGTTGGTCTGCTTGAATCGGACAACGTTTGCAAGCGCCCTGTTGAGTCAAGCCCTGAAATGGTTGGTACACACGGGTTCTCCGTTGAGAGCGCCTTCGCCTACGATCCAACGTGATCCCAAGCTGGGATCCCAGCGGACCTAAAGAATATGGATGCTCCGTCGCCGTGGAGTAATGCCAAGGTTGGGCCAAAGCATTTCAAGAAAGGTGGTTTACGCATTTCGTTGGATGGGACCATAGGTCAATCAATTGGAAGGGGGGCCATGTGATTCGATTGGCTCAACCCTGGAGCTCACATTGTGGGCGTTCAGGCCCGCCCGCTCGCGCATCCCACGTGCTCCGCCATTCTTGCCGAGCAGAGTGCACCGGAGCCTCGACCTGGTCAGTTGGCCAGTGGGCCACGCCAGAAAAAGCGCAGAGGTAGAAGTGCATATGTTGACATATAAAGCTCTATTCAGGTATTTGTGCGCTAAAAGACATGTATTTTCAATTTGATTCCCGTAAGTGTATTGTATAACGTGCACACACACACACACACACGCACACTCGCGTACAGAAACGGAAGGCATCTATGGTTTGATCCTGAACTTGAGACCCTCGAAATCAGAGGTTTACTGTTGTCTCTGTCACTTTGGCGCCAAGCAAGCGGAACATAAGTTTTGGGGAGATGCTTAAAGATGAGTGTTTGTGGAGACTGCGGAATTTCCTGGAACGAATCTTACTTGTTCAATATGTATTTGGACAGCTCTTTGCCTGGAGTCCACTGAAGATCGCGAGATGCAGCTTGAGAGGCCAGGCCTAGGATCGTTGCGGATTGTGGGAATAGGAACATCCACCAAGATTTCACTTGACCCCAATCTCGGGACCTGAAAATTCTTTCACGGGGCTTGGCGGTTTGGATCGGACTGAGATAGAGAGAGCCTCGCGCAAGTCGGGAGTGACCAAAGATTCAGTTGCTCAAAAGGGCCAGTCTCTGGAGGAAATCAAACGCCCCACGCAGATTTTCCCGACCGCTCATGTCCAATCAACATGTCCTGCGACTTTTTTCTGTGCAACTCTGCCGAATGCAAGCGATGATTCTGAATCTGCACTATGCAAATGTGCTTTGCCCCCAATGGATGTGTGTCAAAAGTGGCTCCTGTTTGGATGGGCTTGACCGGAGAGCGAAATATGAAGCACCCGCGTAGAGCTCCGCATTGAGTTAGTTTGGTGCATTTTGCTTGGCTGTTAGGACGTTAACTTTTTGACAACTAATGGGTTTTCCACTAAACCACTAAAAGTTAAACTTTTAACAGGGGAGCAGAAAGCAACTGAGTTTAGTTTTTTCTTCTATGGAATGCCGCTGCAGGCCCCTGATGTCAACTCCATCCTGCCGATTGGATTACAGCCGCCAGTTGCACACAGGACGGGGGCTCGGAATCCGAAATGTATCGCCCTCCCAACAGCAAACGTGGAACCGGACAGGGGCCCATTCTTTCCTTGGAAACGGATGGATCCAATAGCAGGGCAAACCAGTCAAGCTCCTTAATTAACCAGTCTTCTGTTTGTTTCTGGCCAGAAAATATTGTTGAATGGTCTGAGAACCAAGCATGGGACGCATTGTCTCCATGTCATGCTTTCGTGAAATGTGGATCACCTTAAAGAGAGCAAACCACCGCAACTGAACTTCCAGGATGTTGACCTTGGAGCTTCAAGGTGATCTTGCGTGGGAGTAGCTCCAAGATCAAGAATCTCCTGCTGTCGTGTCTCCCAGATTGCAAGGTTTCACCCACTTGTCTAAAGGAGCTGGAACTAAAGCAGGAACTCGAAGAGCGCAAACAATCTTGTCAAAGCCTGAAACAGGTGCAGCTTCGGGCAACAGAGAAATACGGTCGACTGAACTGGATGTACGGCATGTCTATCATCACAGAGAATGCAGTGGATAAGCAAGTCAATATTATTGTCTCGAGAGATTGAGAGACTGAGCCACAGCAATTGTTAGTCTAAATACAAACAAGCCAACCAACCAAGCAGTTGGCAAAGATATAGCCCGAGCGAGTAAACCAGAAAGGATTTTTTTTGACATGTTGTTTGGGAATCGGAAGCTGATTACTGCTGCGGGGAAGCCAACACCCATTAAAGCACGCTTGAGGGTGAGGGGTGTTGGGCCTTGCACAACCTTGATCCATTGGCAGATATGCTCTCGGTCTCTTGCAATGGTTTCAAATCACCGAGGGCGCATGTATGCACTGAGAAGCCACACGTTTTCTTCTTTACACTCCGTGGAAGCAAGTCTTGTCGGCAGGGCAGCCTCTTTGCTTATTTGCGAACTAGTGAGGTGGAAAGCGAATTTATTAAAAGAGTTCCGCGTGATAGGAGTTTGGACTCGTTTCGGGGTACAGCACATGGTGGGAACTGCACCAAACCTATCCCATTGCAAGAAGTTTCGCCAAATTCGGAGCCTTCCGTCTAAGCAACCATGTGAGAGTCAGTAGCAAAGCGTGAGGGCATTGGATCCTTTTGCAGTGATATTTCTTGCCTCGGCTGATTAAATTCTCGGATTTGCTCAATCGTCTTGGTGGATTGGGCAAAGTCGGTTGATTTGCTTTCAGATGTTGTAGAATTTGGAATTGAGAACTTTGGCAGCTAGGTGACCCCTCAAGACATCCGTGTCAGAAATTCCTTGCCCAAGACGTGGATTGATTCCCACAGGCCCCTGTTCCACACCTGGTTGCTCGAAATCCGAGGCAAATGGTTGGCTCAGCTCAAGCGAAGGACGCCTGCCAGGCGGGCCTTTGGATGTGGGCCGCCTCAAGGAAAAAGGTTCTCAAGAGCGGAAGCTCTCATTTGGCTGTGGTTGTCAAAACCAATGGGATCCCATTTTGGGGTGGGTGCACCACCCATTTTAGAACCTATTTTTGTGGGGATTGGTTGATGTTCACTGGGGGTACGATTTGGTTTTGGACCCATGGCCATTTGACAGGAGAGAAATCTTATCCCCAAAGTTGTCCTTGGCCTCGTGATGTGCATGTGGCTGGTGGTTCCTGAACCAAAGTTATCAGCCGTCAACACTGTTGACCCTCGCAGTGGCGTTCAGCAGTGACGACAAGCAACCAAGTACCCGACGGAGAACATGAGCCCTTGGTCAGTGAAATGTACCGGGAATCTGTGCTGAGGGTGTGTATAGGCCAGTAACCCTCCACCTGTTCCTTCCTACCTCTCCCTTCCTCAACTCCCTCTCATCCAGCCCCATCCTATCCCACCACGCCTGGCAGGGTTTGCACAGTGCATTGGCGGACTGGAGATGTGAAACAATGATTTCCGCTCCAAACGACACTTAGCGTCAACCTCACTTCCTGAGTTCCTGGATTTTATACTTTTTAGGAAGACCACTTTAGTGGTAATATTTTAGTGGTAACTGGCCAATCCACTCAGAAAGTGAGCAACAGGCCACAGCCAGCACGTAAAATACAAGCAGTTTGTAGTCTTCCTCTACACGTGTAGGTGTTTTCTTGGTTCAATGGCATGCGGTGCCCCGAAATGATCTGGCTAGCTGAAGAGCTTCGGTGAATTTTATGCCCGGAGCAGCTCTGGGGGCTTATCAGGGGAAGAGGTCTGTCTCGAGCCGTAGCCCTCGAAGCCCAGGTGCAGCGGTTTTGCACCTACTGCGGCCCGGAGCCTTGAGCTGGGGGATTGTTGCGGTCCGGATCACTGGAGCAGGTCCAATGATTGGGATATTTGTCGGGACAACCGTTGGATCACTCCAATGATTGTCTTGATGCTGTGCTGGCATGCTAAACAGCTACCTTGGGCATGTGACTTTTCACCGTGTGGCCTGCCTGAAATGTCGAAGTGGTAGTGGTGTTTGTTTGGTTAGTTACGTGCTTGCTTACTTAGTTGCTCAGCAACTTGCTTGAGTGAGCTACTTGGTGAGTGATTTAGGTAGATAGCCAATAAGTTGGGTAGTTATTCAGCGGTCAGTTGGTTCGTCAACATGTCGGCTAGCGTCATTTGGTTTTTTAGCCAGTGTGTCGGACTTAGCTATTTGTCCATAGAGGTGCAGTGCGAACCACATGGGAACTGTGGAAGCACAGCGCTTCAGAGCTCTCCATTTCAGCCCTTGTGTTTGAGCATACTTCTACTTGAGAGGGGGTAGTCGGCAACTTAGTGGAGCTTCTTGCGGCGGAAGTTCTTCGAAGCTTTGCTTTGATATACTCAGCTTCTACTCGCTACTCGCTTGCCTGAGGAGAATAGTCAGAAAGCCCATGTATATGGTTACAATGAACCGAGAATGCCGTAGCTTGGTTTTACCCTACCAACCATACCCACGGTTTCGGGCTCTTCGTCCAGATCTCCAAATCATCTTGAACTTGCGCCGAGCGGTTTTACTGTTCGACTTGCGATCAAGCAACTCTCTAAATGGGCGTTGATCAAAAGGTGCTTCTCAGGGCTTATTATGTGGAGGCCCGCGAAGATTGGCGAAGGAGTTCGCGAAAGATACTACACATGTAGCAAAGGAAGTACACATTGACAGTTTCGTTTTGAGAAGAACAGCACACACACTTTGGGAAAAGTTGCGACGTTCAAGCCAGAGCTGCCAAAGTGTGCCTTTTACCTCACTTGTCAAAGGAGGTTTAACAGGAACCTCCGTAGCACTGGAACTAAAAGAGCTAGCTCCCTCTGTCTCTAAGAATAGATCGATGGACAGACAGATAAAGAGAGCGAGAGAGAGCAAAGATGGTCAGGTAGACTTGTAGTGGAGAGAGAGCGGGAGAGAGAGAAAGAGAAATCAGATAGGTAGAGGTAGATAGATTGATAGACAGATAGATAGCTAGATAAACAAATGAACAGACAAATAGGTAGTTAGATAAACAGATGCCACGTAGCTAGAAAAGCCCAGCAAATGCGAGAACTGGGGCAAAGATAGATAGATAAGCGAATGAACAGATACATAGGTAGATAGACAAATAGATTCCGAGTGCGTGAAAAAGCCAGGAAAAGCCAGCAAATGCTTGAACTGGGGGAAAGAAGCAGCCGAAAACATGGCCCTTGGTGTGAATTCGGTTCTTCCGCCTGTGCGCCAACTACCTCGGCCGCGTGCGGAGCGCAGAGCGGTCCCGGAGATACGCGCTCTTTGCATAGATAGATATATAGATAGATAGATAGTCGATAGACCCGATAGGTGGATAGATAGATGGATAGATAGATAGATAGATAGACGGAGAGAGCTAGCTAGATAGATAGATAGCCTGGTATGTACATAGAAAGATTGGTAGATAGTTGGATAGGTAGATCAACTGCAGGGTAGATCAAAGATCAATTGCAGGGTAGACAGATAGGTGGACATATAGAAAGAAGAGGGAGAAAGGAGAAATGAGAAAGGAGAAAAGAGAAAGAGAAAGCGATATTGCAAAAGAAGAGGGAAAGAGAGAAAGAGAGAGATAGAGAGAGAGAGAGCGAGAAAGAGAAGGAGAAAGAGAAAGAGAAAGAGAACTATAGCCCTTGCGCGTTTGAAGCTTTCGCCCCCTAGCTTTGCCGGACTCAACTGGTACTGAAAAGTTGCGGGTTTCGAGCCGGAACCTTCGCCACGCGTTTGCCGAACAGTTGCGACTTTGAAGCTGGAGCTGCCAAAGCGTGCTTCGCGTGCTACGTTCGTGCTGAACGTTTTTGCGACTTTCGAGCTGGAACTCCCACTTTCTTGAAGCGAGGAAAATCGATAGGCCCCTCCAAACGCTTGATGTGCTTTACATGAGTTCGAGGCTTCGGCTTCGGCAGGCGGACGTCGGATCAGCTAGAAGGGCAAGCATTTCAAGCATGTTAAGGTGCGTGTGGCTAGTACAGATGTTGATGGTGTCACGACAGGTTCTCGAAACATATTTTGTTAAACGAAGATAACTTTTCCGGAAGAAATACTGTTGCATTGATCAACCGCCATATGGGGTCTTATTTGTTGTGGGTACCCTTTTTTGTTGGTTTATAGGGAGCCCAAAATGATACCACCCATGCGGGGGGTCCTCCTATGTGACACATGCCTATTTGCCTGGATCTGCCACAAAGCGGGCCATTCTTTCGGCACCGAAAGCCGGAAGCCAAGTTGGTAATGCTTTGCGTTTGCTTCCGGCCGAGGCTGCGCGAAGCCGCCAGCACACACTTTTTGCACCTATTGCGGCATGCAGGCGCAGATGGCCATGAACTCAAAGTTGTTGGGTCCTTACAGAGATAAAAAAGACCCGGGTAGACGAAGGTTGATGCACACTCCCGGCCGCCCTTTAAGTATCTTCTACTTTTCTACGTGGTTTTTGATAGACCCTTCTTGAACCATGTTTCGGTCATGACTCACGTGCGGAGTTATTGAAAACGGAGCTTTTCGTCACACCCAGATGTTCGTCCCTGCCCAAAGGTCCTGAGAGTGGTTCAATTTAGTCACGGGGTTATTGTGGCAACAATGTCCTGGCCCCAAGCGTGCCCCCTCCCACCAAAGCAGGGGGCATTATACGTTGGTTTTGTTGCGTTCGCCAGCTAGTTAGATGGTCTTGCACGTAGTCATTGGCGGACGAGGTGTATATTACATAGCGATCGGTCCTAAGATTGACCATGCGCCGGGGCTTCACGCAATTCAGGCAACAACGAGGGAGGGGCTCCGCATGTGCTCCCGAGGTCCTTGTTCCCAGTCAGTTGCTGAAAGCATGGCTAGTTGCAGCGTTGAAACCCTTGCTGCTTAACATGACCTACTTGCGAGGACTACGCCCAGTTCTTTCCAAGCCTTGCCAATAGTAGGCACATATTCATGTGTCCTCAGAGTCAAAGCCATATTGTCTCGGCTTTCTGAAGGGCACGAGGACGCCAGTTTGGTTGGAACTCACAACTCCAAATCTTCCCCGCACCCATGGCTCCGCTTTCTCCGCGCTTGTCAGGCCTCGGCTTCAGCATCCTGAACTTTCAGGGAATCATTCTTTCCACAGCTTGACCTTGGAACACGCCGGCGGGCCCCCAAGCTAGAAATATTTTGTCCAAAGGCGGATCAGAAGGGAACAGTGAGCCAGACACGATCTCCAGGTGCTTTCAATGGAAGCTCAATCCCAAGTTGATGTGGATGAAGCTGTATCCCGTCGGCAAACTGGCCCTGCTGTTTGGCCTAAGCGGCTTTGACGTCCTTTGATCGTCCTTTTTAGCGTTTGTGTTTGCATAGAGGTTTGTATCCTCGCAGACGCGTGGCTTATGAGAGACTATACAGGTCTCTGAAAGCGCGAGCTTCACGGAGTGCTGAACGGCTTGTGAGCCTTCGCACTCTTTAACCCTTGTTTGTGATCGGCACAATTCGATCTGGCCGTTACTGCAAGTCACTGCAACAGGCCAAGATGCTGTGGACGGCGTGACCCAAAAGCCGCAAAACAGCAGAGCTCCTCAAGAGGTCTACACTTTTTGAAATCGTGTGAAGGACTCTGGCGAATTTCGAGGAACACCCCGCCAACTGAGTTGAGGCAGCCGTCAAGAGAAAGAAAGAACGTGGCGGCTCGGGTCGGGCCCTTGCAGCGAGAGAGGTCGGGCTTTAGCGGTCCTTTGGGGGGTGGTTGGTGGAAGCCCTGGAGCATGGGGCCTAGATGCGGTGCATGAGAGAAACGTGCCACTCACCGAGTTCTTGTGGTTCTTATGTCATCAAGGGGGAAGTTGATTCGTTGATTCTTTCCCGCGCAAGAGACGTTGACAATGCTTGTGTTTTCAGAGTATTCTGCGTGAACGAATGAATTGAGGGTTTTCCCAAGGCTTTACTTGTCGAGTAGCAAGCGAAGCTACGTTTGGTTCCCTTCTCGGGTGATTGTGTTCCGGAGTACATAGCTCTCTCGGAGTATTGGCTAAATCAAGGTTGTACGCGTTGCCTGAACTTATTGGCAGTTAAAGGCAATGTGCCAAAATGAGCGACCCCTCATTGGTTCATGTTAACAGACAACCACCTTTGGCACGCTCTCATTGGGCCCTCTGCTTGAAGCTCTCCGCCAGCCACACGCGGCTCAGATCAGAGCAACTTGCAATAGGAGGGTGGGGACGTCGCTCTTTGTGAAAGCCAAGGCTTGGGCAGAATTTGTGTCCATAGGTGTCTTTTTTGGTTGTTTTCGTAGAAAAATAGATGGCCCTGGTTTATCTGGTGGTTTAATCATCTACCAGGGAAACCCATCTATTTCCCCCTAAAAGGACACCTATGTTTGTGTCAGTCTGAACTGGTCATGTTTCACCCTTCTTCCAGGCAAACCGCTGGTCCGTGGGACATGCCGGAGGAACCCGGCCTCTGCTGACGTTTCGTAAAGGTAGCGCCAGATGGTTTCCCAGGGCCAAGTTGCTGTTTCAGTGGGCTTATGGGGCAAATGGCTAAGAATGGTTTTCGTTTTGTGCGCTTTCAACCAGCCCGTGTCGTGTCTGTCAGATCAGATTAGCTCCTGCTTGAGGGGAGAGTGACATTAGTGGTCAGCTTAGCCTAGCATCGGCACCCCTTGAAAAGCTTGGCCTGGCTTCCGAATTAAAGAAGTCAACAGCAATCCCCTCTTCAACCCGAGTTGTGACGAAGGTGTACAACCTTCTCTCACTGAAACCCGAAACAGGTAACAAGCGCTACCCAGCCCCTCTTCAACCCCAGATTTCCTTTTGAGTGATCCCCCATTCTCCAACGATCCTATACCATCACACCGAATCTGATTCCTCAAAACCGGTTGTACCGGCTCGCTGACCTTGCCGGAGAACCCGCCGCCCTTCGGGGTTTTGGCCATGGGCCACTCCGCCGAGAGCGCCGCCGAAGCGAAGGCGGGGGCGTTCGAGGCCATCCGCCGCGGCAACCGCCGGGAGAAGCGCGAGCAGCTGGCCCTGGAGTGGGAGCACGTGGAGGCGAGAGAATGAGTGGGTTGAGTTGGGCATGTGGGAAAAAGGGGCGCTTGCTTTTTTTGGTGGTCTCTTTTTTTTTATGTAAGAAACATGACATGTGTGGACTACATTTGGCCGAGAAAGAAAGAGTTCGGACTTGGAGGATATCAGGTGATGTTCGTTGGGTCGCGATGCTGAGGGGAAGGAAACAGCGCGTAGCCCAAATTGCCGGGTCCAACTTGACCCAGTCGCAGCGAGATGGCTGATTGACTTGCCAAATCAATACAGCCAGGAGGCCATAGGGCTCTCCTCGGATGCGATCCGGGAAAAGAACGTCGGAGCTAATCATTTCAGTGTGACAATTGGGCAAAAGCTTGTGAAATATCTTGGTGACGTGCTCAGTTGCTTCTTGTAAATCGGCTGGGCTTGAGGTTGGATTGGCCATGCAATCCATGTTCGAAAGCTTTCCTTTTCCCTGCACACGTAGAACTGCCAGCAGTGCTTGTAATCTTCAGACCACAGTGTTGGTGAGGACAAGGCTGCAAGGCTGCGAGACGTCACACGCTCATGAGTAACAGACACGGCTGTTTGGACGGAAGCCAAATATTCCACCCAATCTGTGGTTTTCCTTTTGGTTTTCCCAAAAGAGGAGCCACAGCTGATTGAGCTGTCACGTATCCCACCGCTGATACGTGCCGTTGAGCGCCTTCTGCAAATTGACAGCGGCAAAACGCAAAACACCTGCCTGGGGTACCTATGGGTCTGGCTTTTTTGAGGGAACCCCTAAAATGACTGGTTCCCTTTGGTTTCCCTTTGAAGCCGCCAAAAAGGGGATATTGGATACCCTGAAAAGAAAGACACCTATCAATTCCCCAAGTCAGGGTGTTAGCTTCTTTTCCTTCTGGAGAAGTGGTTAGACGCCACGAAGGCAGACACAACCGCCTCAGGTGGCTCTGAGAGAGGCTTCTCTTGAACTGTGCGTCCCATTTCTAGGGATGGCCACGTCCATGGACTTGGGAAATGCAGGCCATCGAGGTTCCGAAGGTTAGGTAACCTTCGATTGGTTTGGGTTGGGACCCCTGGCTTTTGCAGCAGGGGTTTCTTTCCCAAAAAGGAAAACCAGCAAGAAACGCCACCAATCGGAGGGAACTTAAAGGGGCAGTGTACTCAGAAAGTGGGTAAAAAACCAGGGTCATAACCCACAAAGCCATGGTAAGTCTCCATTCACTGGGTTATCTCTTGACCCCAGTTGCCCAGTGGTGCCCTTTTTTCCTGTTTTTGAAACGGGTTCCCCTTCAATGGCAACCAACCAAACAAAAGATGTCCTTTGTTGCCCATGGCCGCCACTGGGCATCTGAGTGACGCACCGAATCGATCGCAGGTGACCTTCCACGAGGACCTGGAGCTGACAGCTGTCTCATCGCTGGTCCTGGGTGGCCCGGTCAAAGGAAAAAACGGCGTAGGACTATTGGGGGATCCTTTCCGTGTGTCTTGAGAACGCCTAGGGCCGGCGTGATTTTCCGGGCCGGCAAACTGAGCATCATGCACGCATATGCGGGTCCAGAATTGATTAGAACTAGCCACAGTTGCCTGAAACATGCTCCATGTTGAGAAAGGGTATCCTTTCTCGCGAGTGACTGAATTCCAGGACGACCACCTCTACCAAACTCAGGTCTTGACGATCTTTGATTGATCCGCCTAGATCTGAATCCAGGCGCCCTTGTAAGAAAGGAATCTCCTCTGAACAGGAACAGGCCACGACCAAACCGACGGCGCGATTTTGGACTAAAACTTTGGATCAGCTGCCGTGGGACCGCCGACGACTTTCCACACGGTCCATGTTCTGCTGGTTGCCAAACCGATTTGGACGGGCATTGATGAATAACTTAAATGTGCGGTGCTTTTAGCAGGTAACGAGGAGTTCTCGTTGTAATATGCTAATGCTAATGCCATGGAACAAGGCCGAATCCACTTGAAGAAACTATAAATATAAGCTTATGACACGGTTGCCCAGATTCTTGAGGTTGAGTAAAGATGTCAGCGCTCACCCAGAACCCAATTGGGTGTGTGTGTCGCAGTTTTTTGCCCACACATGGCAATTTTTGCTTGCCATCCATGTGTTTGAAATGATATTTAGAGTGTGACCGTGCTTATTGTTGAAGCGTTGTAGCAGGATGCTTCTACAATGCTCGTGTCCAGGAGAATTCTGTTGGATGCGACCATTTGCAAGATTGCACCATACCGTGTCGTTCTTGGAACCCAGGGTAGCATGCTCTGCCTGAGCCTGGCTCTGTTCGGAATTTACACTTTGCACAATCCCAAGGAATATGCTGGTCAGGCTTGAGCTCTTAGTCTTTTTGGCTGCCACTACACTAAACTGCATTGCCATAGCACCAACGAAAGGACCCGCTCGCCACAGATTAGAATGCGTGCTGGACATGTGCCAAACCAAACACACCAGTCAGAGCAACCATCTCTTAAAGTTGAAATCGCGACATAGCACAAACTCCTAGAATCAGGAGTCAAGAGGGCGTGTCAACTGGCCATATACTTCAAGTAGCATGCTGGTTGCAGAGCGCAGCTCTGTCAAGGCTGCGGTGGCCTCCCCGAAGATGTTTTTTGGCTGAGCACGCCTGTACAAAGATTTGTAATGTAAGGGGGATGTGTGGTTTGTAGAGAACTGGGCCATTGGTGCCAAACAGCCCGAGCATGTTGTGATGACCCAGGCAAGCACATGCGAGCGCAAAAGGATCAGTGGTGATACAAGCAGTGTGTCCAAGATGCTGCTTTGTGTAGACCAATAGCATCACCCTCGCCCCCTTCCCCGCCCGCCATAGTCAGAAATACCATATCCGACCGCAAAAGCACCTAGCACCAACACATCTCATCTAATGCTACCTTTGCGTTTTATAGTAAACGGCAACACATGAAGCACCATCCTTTCTTGATTCGTGTATTCTTTGCATTTCTTCTGTGGTCTTGCAGTGTTCTCATAGCCTTGTGTAATCTTCCCCAGTCTTCTATAGTGGTGATCCTTTTTATGCAGGTGCATAGGTGCATGCACAAGTGTATGAAACGCACCCCTGCCCATTGCTAGCCTCCTTGCGAGCAGGCAGACACCGTAGATGCCAACTCGAGAGGCCCAACTTTGCCAACTCAATGGCCACAGACCGAACCAATCAGAACAGCCAGCTAAAACAAGCCCAAAGAGAGAGGAGCCGGGCTTCGCATTGCGGCAACGCAACTCAAGTTTGGCGGGGTTGGAGGTTCGAGTCCGCGAAGGCTTCACGCCGCTATCCGGTCTCCGGCCGTGCCTAGGAGCATCAGCGTATGGATTCCCAAGCAATCCCCCAACACCCAGCAGCTTTAAATAAGCGTGCGTCTTCCAACTAATAAGGAGCCCTGCGTATCCTTCCCGAGCGCCTCGTGCCCCGGACTCCCGGCCGGGCTCCCGGCCGGGCTCGCCAAGGCCCGGACGCGCGCTTCTCCGCCGGCTGCAAGCCACGCCTCGGCGCGGCGGAGGCTTCCGCGGCCTGGGGCACCTGGCGGCGGCTGGGCCGCGGGGTGGAGCTGACGCTGGGCGCCGAGGAGGCCATCGGCCTGGAGGTGCCGTGGCATCCCATGCCACGGGATGTGGCTGTGGGTCAAAAATAGGGGCCCAAAATAAAACCCTGGTAAGTGGCAACATGGCAAAATGTGTGGTCTCCTGGTGGTTTAATTTTGACCCACACCCATGTGGGGGACTTGTCGACGTTCAAGGCAAGGCCCTTTGCCAGGGGTTTTGCAACTCGGAATGGAGTTAAAGGCGGGAAAGCCGATGATTGCGGCGCAAAAAAGCAAGCCAATGAAAGAAGAGTCTGTATGAAGTGCCCTTCCCCCTCTAAAAAAGCCGCAGAAGGCACGCCTGGTCAGTTTTCGGGTGCTCCTTTCTGCGAATCCAAAGAGGATCCCCTTGCTTCGCAAATTGTTGGGCATTGGGCACCCTCATGTTGGTTGCCTTGCTGGAAGAGCAGTGGTGGCAGATGTCCACAAAGCCATGTGCATTTAATTCTTATGACATGGTGTCAACACGGGATACTCTTGTGGAGACCATTGGCAATGGGAACGATCGAACGGCACCCATGGTAGTGGGGCCCGTCCTTTGGACACATTCCAATTTCACGACCTCACGAGGGTTTGCGACCTCACCCATGAAGGGTGAATCACCCAAAGGCCGGGTGTCTTCTTGTTGAGGGTTTCCTTTTTCAGTGCCTTTGCAGCGAAACCATGGGGAAGCACCTATGGGGGTGGGTTCCCTGAGTGTTTCTCAAAGTTTCAGGACACCCTTTTGGTCGGCTAAAGGGAAGCCAAAAGGACACCAACCATTTTAGGGCGCCCTTTAAAAAACGCATTTTCGGGTACCCTTGGAGGAACCATGTTGGGAAATCAACCACTTGGATTTTTGACGGACACCCCTTTTGTTGGGGTGCCCGGGTCAGGAGATGGTGGTGGTCTATCGCTGCCAGAGGGGGTGCCTGGTGGCCGAGCGCGTTGATCTTCCTGATGGCTTGGCGCAGGAGAGATGGCAAGATAGACTCGACATATACCCTCAAGCTGGTGGGGAGCCGATGGATGTATCCAAATCTGTCTTAGCCAAGGAGTTGTCAAGCGCCAGTTTCTAACTCTATTCATGGCGGGCTGTTGTTGCAAATGCTGGTACTATGGGTGTACTTCGATAGTTGACGGGGCAGCGCAAAGTCACACGAGCAAAGCAAGGTTCGACTGAAGCTGCCCTCAACTGACCCGTTTTCTTGCTTCTTGTCCCGGTCTGAATCCGCGTGTGGTTCCAGCCAGCCAACAAGGCAGCTTAGCAGCCAGCCAGCCAGTCACAAGCATCTTGAGCCAGTTAAGGCAGCAAGCGAGCTAGACAGCAAGTGAGTGAGCAGGCGATCAGGCAAGTGGGCAGGCGAGCGGGTGAGTGAATCAGGGCTAATCGAGCCACAAGGAATGTGACCCCTTCGCACATATGCACGCCAGTCTGATGCGAGAGGTGCGAAGATACGTGTTGTCATGGACTTGCTTCTCTGTTGCTGCGCTTTGCTAGTTGTGTTTCTCCTTGGCTCCATCAGCACCAGGAATATTCGCCATGCTTGCAGTCTGATGATGTGCCGAACTCAGGTTATAAGCCAACCGAGCGAGAGAATCCATTTTCCAACCCGAAGGCAGCCTACGTTTGCATAGTTTCACAAATGCAGACATAGGCAGGCAGCTCTGAAGAACCACCAGAGTTATCCTTGGAATCCAGCGATCTGGTTATTGGAGGTGCTTCCAGTTCAGACCAGGTCGAGACCCGAAGAGCGACAGGAGTTACGAGCGGAGGTGAAGATCCCTCTTTGGGTCGGAGTGTCTCATTCAGATCAACTGGACATGTTGCCTAGACCACAGGGTACCCGTCCCCTTTCATCCCAAGTTTGAGTCAGGCGCCTCTTCCTGAGCAGCCCAAGGAAGAGGCAAGGGATGAGCTTCGGCAAGTCACGCTCTGGAGGTGGCTCAAATGGAAAGGATCCAGTGGGCCATTGATACGAGGAGACCATGACAAGCAGCCTTTGTGAAGGTGTGAGAACTAATTAATTGAGCCCAACGAAATGGTGGTTTGGAGTTGGAATTGATTCAAAGTCAACCTCAGCAAGGCCACATTGAAAACAGAGAGAGCCATCTCAGTTTGGGCAAAGCTCACAAGGCGTGTATCTCGAGGCAATACTTTAAACTTTAGAGGGGTCTTGGTATTGACACATTTGCATATGTGCCCTAGTCGAACAACCTGGCCATAACGAAGTTCAACAACTCCTGGATGAAGATTTGACATCGCCTCAAGGGTCATGACGTTTACAGGAATGACCCTGGCTCCTCTGCAAGGCCAACAATTTTCCGTGTTGGGGCCCATTACAGTCAGTTGCAGTCAGCGGTTTGGACATGGTTTGCCATTGGTGGGTGACCTTGAGAGAGAGAGAGAGAGAGAGAGATAAAGCTAGCAGATGCAGCAGACGCTATTTAATGCCTGCACCCCTGAAATAGCGTGAGTATACCACACATTTTATATATATATATATATATATATATATATTTTAACGCCTCCGGCTCAGGCCGCCGACATTACAGGCCTGCTTTCTTATTTGCGTCCCTTTGGAATTGTCCCCTTGCCCCCCTTCCCCTCTGAGATCTTTGCCCCCCCTTCCCTGTTGAGATCCTTTCCCCCTTTCCCCCCTAAGGCCTTTTCCCCCCCTGAGATCTTCTCCCTTTTCCTCCCTAAGATCTCTTCCCACCTTTGCCTATTGAGATCCTTTCCCCCCTTTCCCCCTAAGGCCTTTTCCCACCCTGAGTTCTTCTCCCTTTTCCTCCCTACGATTTTTTCCCCCCTTTCCCGCAAAAGATCCTTTCCCCCGTTTCCTCCTAAGGCCTTTTCCCCACAAGACCTTTTCCCTTCTCCTCCCTACTTTCCCTGTTGAGATGCTTTCAAGGCCTTTTCAGGTCTTCTCCCTTTTCCTCCCTAAGATCTCTTCCCACCTTTGCCTATTGAGATCCTTTCCCCCCTGTCGCCCCTAAGGCCTTTTCCCACCCTGAGTTCTTCTCCCTTTTCCTCCCTACGATCTTTCCCCCCTTTCCCGCAAAAGATCCTTTCCCCCGTTTCCCCCCTAAGGCCTTTTCCCCACAAGATCTTCTCCCTTCTCCTCCCTACTTTCCCTGTTGAGATGCTTTCAAGGCCTTTTCAGGTCTTCTCCCTTTTCCTCCCTAAGATGTTTTCCCCCCTTGCCCTCTTGAGATCCTTTCCCCCCTTCCCCCTAAGGCCTTTCCAGATCTTCTCCCTTTTCCTCCCTAAGATCTTTTCCCCCCCTCCTTCCCACCCTTTCCCCCCTAAGGCCTTTCCCCCGCTGAGAGCTTCTTCCTTTGCCTCCCTAAGATCTTTTCCCCCCTTTCCCTGTTGGCCTTTTTTCCCCCAGATCTTCTCCCTTTCCTCCCTAAGATCTTCCCCCCCCTTTCTGTTGAGATCGTTTCCCCCATTCCCCCCTAAGGCCTTTCCGCCCCTGAGATCTTAAGGCCTTTTCCCCCCCTGAGATCTTCTTGCCTTTCTATCCTTTCCCCATTTCCCCCCTAAGGCCTTTTCCCCCCCTGAGATCTTCTCCCTTTTCCTCCCTAAGGTGTTTTCCCCCCTTTTCCTGTTGAGATCCTTTCCCCCCCTTTCCCCCCTAAGGCCTTTTCCCCCCAAGATCTTCTTCCTTTTCCTCCCTAAGATCTTTTCCCCCCTTTCCCTGTTTAGATCCTTCCCACCCTTTCCCCCCTATGGCCTTTCCCCCTCTGAGAGCTTCTCCCTTTTCCTCCCTAAGATCTTTGCCCTGTTAGCCTTTTTTCCACCAGATCTTCTCCCTTTTCTCCCTAAGATCTTTTCCACCCCTTTCCCTGTTGAGATCATTTCTCCCCTTTCCCCCCTAAGGCCTTTCCCCCCCAGATCTTCTCCCTTTCCTCCCTAAGATCTTTCCCCCCCTTTCCCTGTTGAGATCCCTTCCCCCCTTTCTCCCCTAAGGCCTTCCCCCCCCCCTCCCTTTTCCTCCCTAAGATATTTTGCCACCTTTCCCTGTTGAGATCCTTTCCACCCTTTCCCCCCTAAGGCATTTTTTCCCCCGAGATCTTCCCCCTTTTCCTTCCTAAGATCTTTTCCCCCCTTTCCCTGTTGAGATCCTTTCCCCCCCTTTCCCCCCTAAGGCCTTTCCCTTCCTGAGATCTTCTCCCTTTTCCTCCTCAAGATCTTTTCCCCCGGTTGAGATCCTTCCCCCCCCCCGGCGGATATATGTATGGTCAGGCCCCCCCCCATGATGTACCTTTTCTGTCTTGAAGTCTTTTTAACTATTCCGTATGTATTGAAAATACACACATTTCATGCTAGACTGCCTGGTGTCGTAGTTTTTATGAATGACTTGTATTTAAGATGCATAATCATGAACGTGCATCTAGTGACCGGATTCTGCTTTCTGGTGCAGTCCACTTTGAATTGCCCATGATATAAAAGCTTTCATTTTTACAGTGTTTATTGTGCTCTACTCTTACGAAGCGGGGGTGGGGTGGGGTGGGGTGGGGTGGGGGGACAATCAGGGCCCCTTCTAAAAGAATCCCTTGCATCGAAGCAGCTTGGAAGGAAGTAGACGGCCAAGTTAGGCAGGTTTGCTCTACCACCTGGCAAATCGCTGGGAAATCTGTTTGTTGTGTGTTTTGTGCCCAGTGAGGTGTTGACTAGGGAGTTAGCGCAGGCTGCGAGCGGAGGCGGCGCACCCAGCGAGGCGCGGAGTACACCTTGTCTGGTACATCATTGGAATCTAGATACCCCATGTGTACTTCTAGCAATTGCGACGGGTTTCTTCGCTGTAGCATCTTTGCCAGGCCGCCTTGAACGGGAGTTTCACCAAGGGGCGGCACTTGGGTTGGTAGTTAGGCCCGTGGTAAGACGGGGTGACTATCGCCTGGAAACGTGGTCCTCCCTGTTTCTTTCACACCAGCCAGTCGGTCATGTTTGCGAAGCTGTTGGAGGCTTAGACCTCCATAGCCCCCTGTAAAGAGTAGGCGCTGGGCCCAAATATGCTGCTGTGGCTTCTTGCGACAAGCTGGACATCGGGGCTTGGAACCGCATCCTCGCGGTTGCTGAAGCTTCATGCGCGGGTTGGCGGGTGCCCCTGGCGCATTGCACTAAGATTGCCCTCGCGGAAGGTCTACGAGGACGACTTCGAAGAGGTTGCGCGCGCCTGAGATATTTCGACAAGCAGGTGCGGTGGAATTCATAGCCGCAAGCTTTGGTGGTGGCAGTCGTTGGAAGGGTCGAGGGCAAAGCAGACGCTGATTTCACCGGAGCAGTGCATGAGCAATTGAGGTTTGCGCCATGCATGTTTTCAGAGTGGGCACGATTCTAAGTTCCAAGGTGTCCGGCATTTCCAAGGCGTCAGATGAATCTGCTGAAGCCAGTCCGAAGTCAGTGTCCAGCTCGTCGGTGACGTGAGTGGATGATGAAGAATGCGCATTTTCATGTGGGGTTCCTCAAATTCTGGAACACCCCATGGAAAATCTGGAACACCCCATGGCAAATCTGAAACACCCCATGGCAAGATCAAAGAGGGAAGACGCCGCATGCTTCCTATCTTCTAGCAGCCCAAAGCAGGCTGAGAGTTCAGGTGTTTGAGCCATGCCCCCGCCGAGTGCAGAGGAAACAGACTAGCCTCTTGCGCATGATCTCGGGTTTCAGAGAAGAAGAGGGAAGATTCGAGTCAAAATCGTTTCGGTTTGACGGCCAGTAAATGCAGTTCCCAGCAAAGAAGACCCAACAGTTGAACTGGCACGAAAACAACAACAGACTACTGGTGATTGCAAGGGGAACATGGGAACACGGAAGAAGTGCTCACTACCCACACATTCCACCGTTTTTTTCCACTATTTTTGCCCAGCGAGTTAGGACGAACCGCCTGGTCTTGTTTCCTGTCTTTTGCGGTTTGACATACATCCGCACCCGCCATTCACGAGGAGCCAGTCCAAAAGAGTGGCCCGGGCCAAAGAGTGGACAAGCAGCCCGCAAGACGTGTGTCTTTTTTGATGGTACCCTTTTTGAGGTTGCATTAATTGGAAACCAAAGGGAACCAATCATTTTTTTGGGTGCCCCATTGTAAGACACCCGCATGTTCATTCTGAACATCGATCTCGACTCAGCCTTCAGACATTGGAGGATAGGAATGTTCATTTTGTTCAGGCAGTCTGGTGGAGCTTTCCGCTCGCTTCTCCCTCAGCTAAGGCTCAGGGGACGGCCCCGGCGGCCGTGGGCCCGGAGAGTGCTCGATTGGGACATCCGCCATCTGACCATCAGTTGCCCTTGGGGCAGTTGAGCTCTGGAAATGGGCAAAGACAAAGCGCCCAGAGTGGTGACTGTTCGAATGACTCAGCCAAGATCATGAGACTTGACTAACCGACCAGTTGACACCCCTCTTGGGAAACGCTGGGGAATCCCTTAATAACCTAAACATGGGGATTGTTTTTTTGAAGATGTGCCCCAGTGTGGTGACGGCCTGTGGCTGTATAGGTCAGAAAATGAGCACAACAGACCGGCCCGAAGGCCAGTTTTGGCTACGATCGTTTCATTGGGGGGAGGGATACAAGGAACCTCCCCGAAAAAATATGTTCAGAGTCCCTCGGTGACGGGGGTGCCTTTGTTTGCTTGGGGCAATAATTGTTTCATGCACCCTGACACTTAAGACCAAGGAGGTAGTTTCGTCAACAACCTCCTTTGTTTTAGGGGGTATCAGGGTTGGAGTCCGGGTTACAACCATGGTTGTTACCCACTCACCCGACGTACCCCCTCGCCCCATTGAGACCGAGCTCGTTTTACCCCGCGCATTGCCCATCCGATCCGAAGCTCGGACGCCCCGAGGACGCCCAAGACCTGCGCCGCTGGAGAAGGGCCTCCCCCTCGCCACTGTGGAGGCCGTCCGGGGTTCGGGAGTCATTCGGGTTTCGGGTCGCGGGGGTTCGGTCGAGTTGGCCCAGAACCATGGACTCCGTTTTTTTGGAGTTGGTTCCCTGGGGTGCCGCCTGGTATCCGATTTTTTGGAGGGATGCCCCAAACATGGCCCCGCGCAGTTTTGACAAGACCCCAACTTGTTTGCAAGGCCTGCGGCCACGGGTTCTTTTGTAATTTCTTTCTGTTGAACTTGCACACTACTTTACTGGCGGTGCTTGTGAACCAGTGTTTCCCACCATGGCCAGCAGTTCGGATCTGTGTGCACTTGCATTTTTTGGATAGGTGTTTGTGAGATTTGGCGAAGGTGCCATCGCATGCTGCAAGTTCGTGGTCCAGCGTGGACAATGCTCAAGGGGGGCACCCCCGTTTCGGGTTGGCTTGGACTCGATCGGGGCAGAGTGACGACAAAGCTGGAGAAGCCTCGGGAAGGTCTATTCCCAGGTACTCGGTCCTGTGTGTCATTTGTTTTGACCTCTGGAAGGGATGGCTGGACCGCCATGGCGCCGAATTTGGGGCCCCGAACCTTTCCCCCGCTGAGTGACACGGCTGAGTGGCCACGGACGGAACTTCGTCTTTGTCATGATTTCACCAGTGCCATGGGCGGGCAAAAACCTGACCTCTTCAACCTTTGCACATGATAATTTACCAGCTACAGTACCAATGTATTGCCATCGTCACAGGAACAGCCAATCCTGTGTAGGGGGCTTTCTTGAAGTGGCAGGGAGGAGCCCTCTAAGTCAGATTTCTTTTCAAGTGACAAAAGCCAAACGAGGTCAAATTTCAGCATGTTGCGTCCTGGAAACAGGCCTGGGATTCTGCTGAAGCCCTTTGAGTCACCACCAGGAGGCCCCGGAAGCGTCTGAGCGAACGCCCACCTCCAAGGGGAGCACGGCAGGCGCGAACTTGGGGCGGAGCTTCTTGTTTTAAAGGAACTCCGCCTTGGTTGATTTCAAAACCAAAAGGCAACCGACCACTTCCGGGGCGTGCGCATCTTGGGGTTTGTTCGCTATGTTTCTCCCTTGGGCCCGGGAGCATGCAAACTGTTCGCCAGGCTTCAGATTAATCAAGGTTGGCGTTTAGGGAGTTTGGCAGATGGTTGACAGAGTCTTTCGGAGTATGGTCAACTTGGGATGGATTCACATTCTGAACTCTGGTCCTCTTTGTTCAAGGGGCTGCTTGGCCCTGTTGGGCTGGAACTTTCTGTCATCTCTCGGTCGAGCTTGGTCGATTCGGCAAATTGCGCATCAGTTGTATGTCGTATTTCTTCTTCCCAGATCCTCAAGGTTCATGGGAAGGAAGGACCTTCCGTTCTTTGGCTTGCCTTGGCATTCTTACGGCAAGCATCCATTTGGGCCTATCAAGCCCGCACACTCCAGGCCGCGCGCGGCCCACTAAGTCGCCTGCCCGGATGCTCAGACTGTTCAGATGTCGCTCATTCCAAGTGCAACAATTGCATTGAACAAGACATCGGACCATTTCTGTGCCGGAATCCAGGGACGTGGTGGTTGCGGCGGTACTAAAACCAGGTTGTATTCCACACGGGCTTGAGCGGATGCTTGCCAAGATGTCCACCCAGCAGATTAGAGCACAGTTTCATGCTCGCTTGCTTTTGTCGTCTGTCGCGGGGATGTTGACTTGGTTTTATACCTGGCTTGGTCACCCTTCCAGATTTCTTTGTGTTGCTATCTCATTTCCCTGATTTTTCGTGGGGCCGCCGGCACAAACGCCGTTTTCCGCTGGCTCGTTTTCTCTCCGAGGCAGCGGGCTCCGCTTCGGAGTCCCCGAGCGGGCTGGACGCGAGCTCCAGCGCGGGCGTGTCCTACAACGAGATGTCCATCGGCATGGACTACTCCGCCCCTCCGACCTACTTGGGGGGGGCTGGGGGGACGGGGAGGTTGGAGCTGAATGCGGGGAAGAGGGCGTCCTGAGTACTTGACCACAAAGTTGACTGGGAGGGACGGGGGCCGGGAGTTAGGGAGCGGAGGTAAGTGTGAAGAGGGCCTCCGGGGAGTATTGGCAGGGGGCTTGTGGGGATGACCAAACAAAAGGGGCACGGAGGCCATGAATCCACGCCTTGTGCGTGGATCGCGTGAATGTTAATCAACCGTTTCTGAAGCTCAAAGCGGGCCCCACGACATAAGCCATGGCCCCAAAAGGGTACTATTTTTTGATACATGTGCCAAAAATGAAGGCCACCCTCAAAAATGCCCATGCTCCTTAAGTTTTCAATTCAACCAGCCCAACCAAAAGCATCGCCCCCCACGTTCGTTCAGCTCACGTCTCTATCGCCTTCGAGGTGGAGCTCTCAACTGAGCTGGACGAGAAGTGCGACTTCGTGGAGGCGTCCGATGGACGCGGTGGACGGGCGCGGGAGTTGAGAAAACCCAGGGGTGAGGTCGTCTGGCTGATAGCTAGGGAATGAGTTAAATTTCAATCGGAATGAACGCTTTTTGCTTGGGTTTTCAGGGAAACCAGTAGGATGGTCTTTCTTGGAGTCATTCTGTTTCTTAGGGCCCCTGCTGAGCACAAGCAAGTCTTTGTCCTCTGGTCTCGGGTGCTTTTGCTTGTAAAGAGCTGCATATCTTTGGATTGGGTTCAAGGGATACCCTTTAACATAGCCAGCGTCTTGAAGGATGATGAAACGTGTGTCTTCACGGGCAAAGAACTTCTTCGGCAATGGGAAGCAAAGTTTCAAATCAGGGTGATGAATGCACCGACACATCCACACTGTCCAAAATGTTCCTCTCTTGCCAAGTTGAACTCATTAGGTCGACTTCTGCTGGACTTTTGCGCGATTTCAAGTTGGCCCTCTGCCCTGTAGCAACCAGTCAAACAAACGGGGCATTGATGTTCAAGTCCAACATGGCAAAGGCTAGATGGTTGGATGTAGCCGACATCTGCCTACGCAGATGTGGTTTGTGTCCCAATGTCTTGCGACAAGGCAAAGGTCTCGACTGAAGATGGATTGCACATGCGTCAAGCATGTGCGCCGTCAGTCAGCACCTCAAGTCTATCCAACTCTTTATCACGGAACCCGACGTTCGGGAAATGGTCCCTTCAGGAAACATGGTCTTCACCAGGCCCCCCCTGCCACGTCAGGCTCCGGCTGTAAGAAGGGTGGGGGGGCTCCGCCTGTCACTCGCCGGCTTCGGGGCCAATGTGCGACCCGAGGCGGTCCGGCCGGTGAAGCGGGGCCCCGTGGGGGTGGCCTCCTCACCCATCGAGGAGGGTGAGGAGCCCAAGGAGGCCGGGTCTAGGCTCAACGAACCCATCGAGAGACCTGGTCTTTTATGGGCATTCGGCAACGGATTTTTGAGCTTCAACTGGAATTTCCGAAATCGGACCCAGAAAGCGTGAAAAGCTTTTCTTTCTGCAGAGGGGTCAACAGCAACCAAGTGGTTTGAAGGATTTGGGCTAGTTGAATGGGAAGGTACGAGTGAAATGTTCGACGAGGCCTTTGGATGTGGTGCCATGGCTCAGATCCAGTCTAGATGTACGGGCTGGTCTAGGACTTGGGGCCGGCCCGGAGATGCGTTGCCCCGCCCTGCGAGCCGAGCAAACAGACGTCCCGGGCAGTAGGGCCATGTCCTCTTTCCACAGTGGATGGACGCAGACAGGCTTCTGGAAGGCTGCTTTAGTTTGATGCTAGCCAATTTCATGCTTTTTGGAAGAGAGCATGTATGAGAATTTGGGTCGGAAGAAGTCTTCAAGCGCTGTCCTGAATTAGGTGAGCCTATGAGATGATGCACGAAGAGTCGAGGCTTTGCAATCCCAAACAAGTCATCCGGCTGCACGTCCCATTGACAGGTGACCGTATGTGTTTCTTGAACAGCCTCTTTGCCTGGCTGATGATTTTCCCTGGCTGATCAGCCATTTTGAAACGTCGAAGGGCTTCTCGAGGCTTATCCAAGATCCAGTGTGTCCTTCGATCTTCGGCTCTTTGGATGGTGAAACAGGGCACAGGTTCTTGGTTCCCTGTTGACCCGCCACCTGTCTCCCCAGTCCGACCCATCGCGACAGGCATCTCCCAAGGCCGACGCCTTGGACAAGCTGAAGCCCAAGAGTCCAGAGGCTAAGGCGAAAGCCTTCGGATTGGACAAGGCGAGGGGCATCTCTTAGCTGGATTTGCAAAAAGGGGGGGGCTAGTGCGCTGTTTTGAGCAATGGCATGTGTGCGCTTGACATGCACGACACACTTTGCGCACAGGGAGAGCTCTCAGGGCCGTTGTTCGGCGGACTTTGCACCGTCCATGATTCACGAGGGTCGTGGGCAGGAAGGCCACTGAAGGCTGTGATTTTTCAGATGCATGCATTCCATGTTGGGTGTCCTCTCGGACCATCGAAAGACCCTGGCTCTGCAGACCGATGCCTTGGATGGGCTGCTGCAGCCCAAGACCCTGCCGCTGGCGCCGCTGGCGCCACTGGCGCCACTGGCCAAGGCGCGAAATGATCCGCGCGATTTTGCGTGCAGCTCTGGGGGTTTTTGCGTGCACGCCCAAGCTGACTCGCGCCTCAGCCAGATTCGTCGTCTCAACCCGCGTGCTTCCGCGTTAGGCGAAAGCCGCCCCGGAGTCCGTGGCAGGCGATGCCAAGTCGCCGAAGGCGGAAGGGGAGGTGGGAACTGGTCCCAGAGCCTAGGTCCACCGGTAAGAAAAGGGTCGTAGTGGACAGTGAAGGGTAGCAACCGCCATTTTGGCTGAAGAAGTGGAACCCTACCACTCTACATTTTCTGTATTTGCAATCGAACCGACGTGTCTTTACCGAAAAAGCGCCAGAGGATGGCTAAATGCAATGCCCCATCTTCGCCAAATTCGCACGCGATTGAATTTGTAGCTGCACTCTCCATTGCTAGCAGTTTTTTTGAAGCAATCGGCATATAAAGTCTGCCGCTTATGCTCACAGCGAGTTCAGCACTCAAGCCGTCAAAGACGCGGTGCGGACATGTACTTGTTGAATCCTCGTTGCTTGCTCAACTTCCTCACCTGCGCAATCCTGGGTTCGCACCTTGAATAATCATATTAGATGTGGATTATGACTCAGGCAATGGTCAATTCACCAAGTCTCAACGACAACCAACCTCCCCAGCACTCGCTTTCCGAAGGTGGTAGGCTGCCTGCTTAGTTGAGATGGGCGCTGAATCTTATAAGGACTTATACAAGATTCCAGGCCAAGGCTGGATATTAGCCATTTACTCGTATCTGTTCAGATAGCGCCATAGCTGCTTGGTCTGAGAATGGTTGGCCTTCCTTGTAAAGGATCTCCGACATAATGCAGCGCCGCAAGGCAGTTTCGTTTTTGTCATCCATACAGAAAGCATGTAGTGTACACGGATGAGCCTTGCAAGCTGCAAGCTGTCTGGCCAAGGCGACAGAAACGGCAGAGGATAAGGAGGAGGAGGACTACGGAGACGCTTCCTTCGACGACAACATGTCTGTGCCAGAGTCCATCCCAGAAGACTCGGCCCTAGGAAGTGGCAGTGAGCGCAGCCAGGATTCGGTGTGAGAAGCATATCATGCGAATTATAGGCCAACCTGGCAGCCAGCAAAGTAGTAAAGGCACAGTGAAGAATCCAAACTCAGCCACGAGATCAATGGGAATCCAGTGTTTCATGCCGAATCATCATTCACCCTGGTAGATACACACGAGCAACAAGCTCACCTGAATTCAAAATCCAAAGTAGAAAACGTCGAACCCCCTCTCCTGATTCTCCGATTCAGTATCCCTCCGATTGGAATCGGCGGACATCCACATTGACAAACGGAGGGAGGGTGTGTGCATGGAATTCTCTTGGCCGTGCATCCGGCGCTTCGCCATGTGATTCTACAGATGCAGTTGAAGAGACAGTGCTGCACGCTGCATGCTCATGACGCGTCGTCGAAAAGAAACACTGGGTGTGCTCGGGAGCTGGCTGTGCGGTCAGGGTGATGTCATGAACCCTTTCAAACCTAAAACTTTCAGGGACCACAACAGGCAAGGCGTGTATGTCAAGAAGCATGGCAGCTTATCATGGCAATATATGTTTTGTTTGTTTGATCAGTTCTTGGGGTGTGCTTGCCTGCGCTGCAAAGCACAAAGGTATCGAGTGTGCCTGACTGTCCATGCACGACGTTGAGTCACAGCCAGTGTGCAGGTTGTTTGGCCCAGCTTCAACGGGTGAACTATGGCACTTTACAGAGTCTTTTTTTGCCAAGCGCATTTAGGAGAAGCTTGTGAGTGAGGCAGGGGTTATGTCACTTACAACTGTCACGCGCTCCACTTGTTGTTTGACAAGAATGGTTGGCACCTATTTTCTGTTATGTGGCTAGGTGTGTTGGCTCATGCTTGTGATTTTATGACCCCCACATGGCTTTGCCAGGCTTGCAGGCTGACAGTTTGCGCATGTTTCAATGCGGGCTTGCTTTAGTATACCATATGTAATGCTGTCAACATGACACGATTCACATGCTAATTTCTCCACATGTAGGGTGGCCTTCTTAGCACTCATCCAAGATAATTCTTGTACCTTCGTGAAATCAGCTAGCGGGAACGCTGTTTGGCTCGCGATACTCCATAGTCCTGGCAAATAAGGCAAAGAAAGATCTCTAGATTCTCGTAGCTTACAGGCTTAACCTTACCATGTACCGCGGCAAACAGCCAACCAAGCCAAAGGCGACAGAGAATCGGCACATCCCGGCCAAATCGAGCGGGTCGACCTAGCTGCCAGGCAATCTCACAAGAGCAAGTGAACCGGGAAGTTTGCTGCACCAACCGAAAGGCAGGAACCAATGGCAGTGACCTCTGTAGGTCTTTTTTTCAGAGAGCGTCTCGCAGGCTGATAGCCAATAAAATCAGTTCGGTCCGAGCTAGACCTTTGGTCGCCATGCTCGTGCGCCGCATACCGTGGCCTCGAGGTTGGGGTTGCCCAGGCGGCCGATGGTTTGTTAGTGGCTCTTAAAGATCCAAAGGTAAACCTTCGATTGAGGATCGGTATGCTTTCAAGTGCTTGAGCAAGCATGGAAGATGTTGCAGCTTCGGGTTGCGAGGTTTGAGAGTTCGCTTTCTGTTCCGAATCCAGTTGGATGGAATGTAGCAGCCTTTTCAGCAGGGAAAGGACTTCTTGGGTGTGATGATCGCCTCAGGGTCTCGTTTCAGGTTGCCTGGTGAGAAGACAGCTCCACGTTTCGCTAAAAACGGCAAGAAGAAGAAGAAGCAGCTGGCCATATTACGCGTCGGCTCATAAGTCATGAATCGGTCGCTTGGACCGTGCGGAGCTCAGGCCGATGCTCCGGGCGCCGCTTCGCAGCGCTGCCGGAAGCGGTGCCAGAAGAGTCGGAGGCAGAGCTGCGTCGCGTGGAGTCTGCGCGGCGTGTGCGAAGCCTGGGTGGTTGGTGCTCCACGAAGGAACACTTTTCTAGCTGAGAAGAGGATCGTATCAAATTATGGCAGTTGACAGATGTTGACAACACAAGAATATCGATCGTGGCTAGTGGATGTTTGCGGACACAGATTCTGGGGGTGTCCCCCCAGCCCTGCCGCCCTAAAGCTATTGGCTAAATTTCTCCACTGTTGGGGAAACTGGGCAACTCTGCGACCCCAAAAAGGCAAGACATACTTTATTTCGAACTGTCCCCCTCGGGGATCGGTTTTGCCACCGAAGCAAGGATTCACGGATCGATCCATCGGGCCGAAAAAAGATGCGGGAGTCGCAGGGCTGGTCCACTTGGCAAGGTCTCAGGGTTTGAGTCCGTTGCTGTATGGGTCTGGCCACCAGGGCCCTCGAGTTTCGGTCACCCGCTTGGTTTCATCAACCCGCGCCCTCCTCCCCTATCCCGGGCGATGAGAGCATAGACCCGGGCTCTGCGTTCCTTTGCAAGTGCTTGTTGCACTGATCGCCTACCTTTCGAGGCCCATAGTTTTGGTTGACCTAGGACAGCTAGGACAAGGGTGTACCAAGGAGCGTGAGCAAGCTGGCAGCCTGGCTGGGAACTTCTTGGCGCAGATGCTGCCTGCTCTGTTGGGTTCCTGACACTTTTCCACTTCCTTACTGCTCAGTCGCTGTCAGTTTATTTCACTTCCTGGCTGCAGTGGTTCGCTTGAACTTCTTGAACCCTGCTCGGGCGTTTCCGCACATTCATGGACGCTAAGCGAAAACATCAGGCAGGGATGACTTGCCTCTTGTGTGTCGAGATGTTCCCTCCAGTTGCTGATTGCCAGTTTTGCTTTCTAGTTGAGATATTTCATCATACCGTACCGCGTGTTTCCTATTACACAAGGCCAGATCGTACTGTGTGGTTTGCTGCCCGTACGCGCCTGCCCACCCGCAGGTGCAAACCCGCTACCCCCGAGCGACACGGTTGGGGTGTACTAGCGCGAACTCCTACGATTGCTTGAGTCGAATCCATGCACAACAGTTTTACGTTGTCGGTGCCTTCGCGCAATGCCCGCTGCAGGCTGGCGGGCTGGCCGTCCCCGGATGGGCAAAGGCGGGTGCGAGAGGTTGCAGTGCGCCTTGTCGTGTTTTGGCTGGGAGACCGCGATCTCGCCTGTTGGTGGGCAAGGAAGGCTGCGGCTTTGCGTGCCACCCGTCGGCTTGCGCCCCGCCTGGCAGGTGGCAGGTGGGGTCATCGCAGTGGGGCAGGGGCCGCTAGCGCAAGGGAGGTGAGTTTTGTCAGGGGTGCGCTGGCAAAGTAGCGAAGGCGCGTGACAAATCATCATTTTTGTGGGTGTGTTTGAGCAGGAGTGCGAGAAACGCAATGGCTTTGGCGCGTGGGTTCTGTCAGGGCTCCATTTGACAGAGCGCGTCACCCTTAGGTTGGTTTCGAAGCATTGCTTGCGACGGGGGTCAGCGTGTTGCAAACATGGGGCGACTAGGACATTACGGGGATGATGGTTGGCATTGCACAGCACGCGGGAATAACCTTTGCGGCAAAACGACTGAGTGAGGTCGCTGCTTGGGTTCCACTATATCATGATCACCCAGCGTGAGCAGAGGGACCTCCGGGAATGCATCGCATGTTGCATTCAGCGCTGGTGAGTTTGCGGATTCAGGCTTTCCAATGACTGCGTGTTTTCTGCAATGCGTTGCCTACCATGCACTCGGCATTCTTGGTTATGGGCCAACAACATCCTATCTGTCGAATTCATTTGGTTCTTGGTTCCGCAAGCGCGGGGGCCAAAGTAGGCAGCTTACCGGGCAACCTGGTGAACGACATATGCTGACTACGGTTGAAATGTTCAAAGACTGGTGAGGGTTCCCACAGGAGTCTAGGCGTGCGCCTACAACATAGTGCAGCCAGAAGGGTGAGCGTTGGTTGCAAGAGACGCCCTTCCGTAGAAGCACAATGTTTCGATGAGCAGGAGGCAATGTACCGCGACAAGATCCAGACCTTGCACGACGAGGATTCTGTTTCGACATGTTTTCTCTTTCCTCCCCTTATGAGCAATTTGGCTTGTGGATACTCTTTGTGGCCATGAATCACTGAGCTCTCTTTGCCTTAGCTCTTTGAGGGTTGCACTCGAAGTAACCCCGTTCGGGCCATCCAAGGCTGATTTTGATTTCCACATTGCCACGACCTGAGTCGTCGACCGGCCAGGTCTTGGATCTACGGTCGCGGCTCCGGGAGGCGCCCCTGGGGATTTCTTGGCTTCCCGCAGTTGCTGTGTCAAAACTCGAGGGTTGCTAAGCTCAGCTGCGGGCAGGGTGAGTGAGGTTCATTTGAGCCCCTGGTGTTTGTGTGTTCTGCCGTTTCAAGCTGTTGAAAGATAGGTTTGGAGAATGTGTCCAGAGAAAATCAGCTAGTGACACTCCAAAGCTCAGCCTCGTGGCCAATCCTCCCATCAGCTTACATCTCACTTGACGAATCATACCAAGTTTACGCTACAACTTGGTCTAAAATCCCAAGTATCATAAACTCTTGCTGCGAGAGCAATTTCGGCACTGGGAGAAATAGCACCCAAGAGCCGCAACTGCGAAGACCAAACAGAGCTAGCCAGAGTTTGGGTACCGAAAGTGCTGAGCAGAAATGCACGCACTGCTAAGCTCTATGCAGACTGGACAGATGCAGCGACACCGTGGCCTTTTGGGCCGGACAGAAAGGTGGCAAGAACTCACCGGGTGGCCAATCCAATTGCGAAGCGAGTGCTTTGCTTTGTGTTCACCAATCCACCAACTGAAAAAAACGCTGTGTTCAGGTCAGAGGTGATCCAAAAATCAAAATCATACGTCGCTTCCTTTTCCATATCGACCCCCGCAGGCGGAGCGAGCCCGCTTCCGGGGCAAGCCAGGCGCTCGGAGGAATCCGGAGGGCTTGCCTTTCTTTTGGGGGTCTTTTGGTTGGTTCTAAAGGGAAACCGCCACATTTTCGGGTTTTCCCCCAAACAGTGCATCCACTGAGGGTTCTTATGAGGAGCAAAGGCCCGGTGCTAGATCGAGGTGCCCATCCCGGCCGCAAGCATGTTGCGTGGTATTTACCGCCAAATCGTGATGATGTATGATGTCGAAGTGCGTTTCGACCGCGCAGGCTCGCACAAAATAAGGCCCACGAGTGTGGCTGGGAGCATTTTGCGTGGTATTTACCGCACAATCGTGATGTTGTATGATGTTGAAATGCGTTTTGACTGCGCAGGCTCGCACAAAATGAGGCCTGCCGAGTGTGGCCGGGAGCATATTGCGTGGTGTTGTCTGACGTCGAAATGCGCGAAATGCTTTTCGACTGCGCAGGCTCGCACAAAACGAGGCCCGCGAGTTTGTCCGGGAGCATTCTGCGTGGTATATACCGCACATTCGTGATGTTGCATGATGTCGAGATGCGCGAAATGCGTTTACACTGCGCAGGCTCGCACAAAATGAGGCCCGCGAGTGTGGCCGGGAGCATATTGCGTGGTATTTGCTGCAAATTCGTGATGTTGTCTGATGTCGAAGCGCGTTTCGACGCGCAGGCTCACACAAAATGAGGCCCGCGAGTCTGGCCGCGAGCACTTTGCGTGGCAGGTGCCGCAAAAACGTAATGTCGCATGATGTCGAAAAGTGTGTTTCGACTGCGCAGGCTCGCGCCAAGATCTCGTGCTGTGGCGCGGTGCAAACTTTGAGCACGCAAAGTGAGCTTTCTGCGCGCGCAGCGATTGCAATGAACCCACCAAAGCAAGGTTCCTGGTTTTGCTTGAAGTAAGCACGGGGGCTGGCTTTTCAAACGGCCGTAACTGCACGGTTGGGGTCTCTTGCCGGTTTGCTTTCTTCTAAGAAAGCAAAAGACGCCCCCGTGAAATGTTTTTCCTCGTTTCTGGTCCAAAGGCCACAGAGTTACGGAGCCCATCGGAGGCTTTTTTTGCTACGCAAACCTTGCTGCTGAACATTCCAGCGACTCCATAATATATACAAGGTCAAAAGGCCCCCTGTTGTTGTAGTAAGGATCCCTACTAACCATTACAATGATTCCGTTTAAGCGAAACTGGGGCCACAGGCCACAGGAGTTTTGACCATGGCTGTGCGCTGGACTCAAGGCCGGCGACGCAAAGTGCCAAGACCCTAGCGGACTGGAAACGTGGCTGAACTCGAAGCTACTGTGTGCTTGTTGCGCTGATTTGAAGTGACGTGCCCGCTTGAGTGGCGCAATTGACTGGGAAAGATGTACGTTTTGTGAAGTTCGCGGTGCGTGCATCACTGGGAAGTGACATCTTGTCAGTGCTACGGGTAATCATAGATTCCCATGTCCACCGAAGGGTCCCCAATTCAGATGCATACCCATGTGAGAGTGCTTGCCACGACACGACAACCGCAACCACTAACCACCGCTGCCGCCGCCCGCCATCACCGGCACCGCCCGCCATCCGCACCCCCACCAGCAAGAACAAAAGAAACAGCAAACGATGCGGAAGAAGAACACATTTCTACTACTGCTGAAACAAGGGTCGACCTGCGGCAGATCTGCTGAGGCCTCATGAACCTGCCAAAGTCTGTCAAGGCTGTGCCCCGTGAGCAAGCCAGGTCAGATAGCCGATTAGGGAACGAGAAGAGATTTGCTCTCACCTTCAAGATGTGTTATTCCGCTTCTTGTTTACCACTTAAGTATTCTGTTGTAGACCGTTGCAGATGTTTTTTTGCCTGAAGCAACGCAGCCAAACAACAGCCCCTGGCATTAGTGTAGTCGTCTCCGCCAGACAACGCATGGCCCGCTAAAGAGGTGGGCCGCCGGATGCGATGGGCTGTGTTTGCGAAAGAGGTGCTGGGGCTGACTGCCGTGTTTAGACAACAGTCATTGCCATGGGAAGTGAGTTGCTTTGCGGATTTCATTTGAAGCACTCAGGGAATCTGCTTGAAAGTCTATGACCGGTAGGCATCGGAGGTCTGCGGTGTCACCGAAAGGAGTGTAGGAAGGGCCAGGAGCCTACAATCCAGCGGTGTTTCGGCTTTTTCTCTTGAGCCTCTACCCTTGGGGCAAATGATTCTATGAACATGGGGTACGTACACCAAAAGAAGTATGCACTGAAAGGTCATAAGATGCATAGTCGCATCTTGAGCTCCACTGTTCCTTCACAACAGCCCCTCCATGATGGTCGCGTTTCAGCCACTTACCCGTGCCGGGGTTACATCATGTACCTGAAAGACAGGCTTTTCCAGCGGTTCACGCTGAATGCTTTCTGCCCAAGGCCGCAAAAGGCTTGCAAATTCAACACTTTGTTGGCCTTGCATCGCCAATATGGGGGCAATGCGGCAAGGCAAGCGCGTGCTCCTATTTGCACTATGCTCATTTGTGGTGATGATCGAGACGGTGAGTTTCCTAAGCCCAATATTCCTCGTGAGCAGAGCTCACTCACCCCAGTGGCCGGAGCAGCGGCCGGAGCGGCGAGCAGAACGCACGCTCAATTGGGTTCAATCGCCCGAAGGTTTCAACCAGGGACTGGACAGAAGCGTCTTGAACGGAGCTGCTGCAGCAACTGTGGCACACATGCCGGCAGAATCATCCGGCGTGTTGCGTTTCGGGGTTGCTCGTTGTGGAAAGAGCCTTACTCTTCACCTGCGTCACATTTTCCAGGGTGGGTCCAACGACTTCGACGAAGGATTTGAGCAAGGAAGGAAGAACGGAGAGGAGGAAGGATTCCGACAAGCCCTCAGGATGGTGGGCAGTAAAAACAAATCCGTCCGAGTTCTGTGCGCAAACTTGACGCAAGCCCTTGCTGGCATTCAAGATGCAGAGGCTTTGAAACAGAGAAAAGAGGAAAGCGCCGCAGCATTGCTCAACATGCTGCGGCAGCATAACCTGGGTTGTGAGGATGCTGAATCTCTCAGACCTACTCAGGGCCAGGAAGCTCAAGTTGGACCTGAGATCTGGCAAGCGGCCGAAGAACACCCCCCGCTGCCTCTTTTAGCATGTATGATATACTACTGCATTGCAGCGCTCGGTGGCGGAGGCGGAGCCTTGTGTGCCCAATTCTGGGGAGAGCGATATGGACATACCGACCAGCGTTTTGTCAAATCTCATGTTTTCATAGTTGGGGCTGGATTTGCATGTGTGACAGTCAGCAGTCTTGCGGGGCTTGGAGTTGCTGACGCGGATGAGGGATACCCCTTGCGGGTGTTCTGGGAAAGTGTGGCCGCAGGAGCCGGAGGTTTCGTGGCGGCCGGAAATTGGGTTCGCCCGCGATAGCTAATGTGACATCGAAATGATGTCCCGCACGTTGATGAGGTACCCAGCTTCAGGGTCCGTATGAATAATATGGGTGTGTCGATTTTTTTGGGGGACCCCCTTGCAAATTGTGGCTTTCCTTTTGGTTTCCCTTCCAGACCACCAAACCATGGGTACCAACTCACCGCCCGCAAGTTCGACCCTTCGGCCATCTCACCTTTGGGGCTGGGCTGAGCGCGCCGGAGAGGGACGAGTGCGTCGGCTAGGGCGAAGTTCGCCGAAAGATGCGAGGCATGAGGCACATGAGGCCAAGGCGAGCACCTGTGGCTCTGATCGAGAAGGCGAAGTGATGTGCGAGTTGCTCCTTCCATCCAGAGAAGCCACATGGCATGAGCGACGCTGCTGTTGGTTTACCAAGAGGGTGCCACAGAAGATGCGACAGAGTATTGCAATACGAGCGACCGGCATGTCCTCTTCAACCGAATTTCACTTGCCAGGAGTGCCCTTTTGATTTGGTTTTCTTGGTTTTGGTCCAACTGTTGGCATGGGCAAACCAGCAACAGCATCTTTCCTTGTACGCGTGGTGATTCCAGAAATTGTGAAATGTGTGCAGTTCAGCAGTTCCACTTGCATTGTTTGAACTTTTGTTAGCGAGGATTATCGTGCAAGAGTTTGCGAGCGCGGAACGCTTTGTTTGTGCCAGCACCAAGCTGTGTATTTCTTTCTCATAGACAATACTGCGACTCGCGACTGCCCAGCCATGGTGGCTGTTGCCAACGTGCGGTACTCAGACCAACGCCATGGGCCAAAGAAGCCAAGAAAGATTCGCACCCAAAAGCGATTTCTCAGTGTGCTGCTGTTTGTTTAGGACCGATGAAGCCAAGAAATATGCAGAGACATGCAAGATGGATGGCTGAACACAACTGCTGGCTGGATGTTTCAAACATGTTGAGAAGTGAGTCATGCCTTTCTGCATGCTTTCCTGCCAATTGTCGTTAGTCGCCTCAAAAGGCCGGCAGACTGACCTGATATGTGTGTTTTCCCCTTTTTTGAACTGCTCAGCTGATCTGATACTCTTGCTGGAGCTGCGCCCCTCTCGCTTTGTTTCAGGCCACGAAACACACATCCGTCAACTTGGTCCATTCATACATGATAGATGTGTACAAGACATGTCGGCGGAGCCTCGGGCAGGGCATCTATCGCAAAGGACCCGGAGTGGCGTTATCCCAACGAGTCTCCTGCTTGGAGGATTGGAATCATGGCACATCGAAATGCGAACGGACAACCGACTGGGGATTCCAACGAACCACTTTTCGTGCCTGCTCCAACGAACCCAACAGAGAACCTATTGTTTTTCTGCAGGGACTTGCGGTATTTGCCTCGGCCCCCGGCCCAGGTCAAGGAAGTCCTCGGGGAGAGCCTCAGCTTCTATGTCTCAGAATGGCCGGGCGCCCATGGCCTTCGCCGTGGCCCAATGGCAACACCTACACCGAACACCTATCCTACACCTCGATGTGGCTGTGGTTGTCAAAACCAATGGGATCCCATTTTGGGGTAAGTGAATTCACCATTTTAGGACCTATTTTAGCGGGATGTTCACTGGGGGTACGATTTGGATTTTGACCCATGCCCATGTATCAACTCTCTGGCGCCAGAGCTCCACCCAGGGATTCACAGCCACTTTGAACCTTGGCCCACAGAAGTGTCATATTCTGTTGGTGTCAGTTTGGATCCTGGCTGCCCCTGGCGTGCATTGCACAAGTGTTGGACTTGAGTTGCGTAGCAAAGAACTGCTTTCCAGGACGCAGACCGGTACTTGCAAAGAAGCATGAATCGTTGTGGGAACTTGCAGGGAAGCTGATCAAATGCTGTGCGTGCAGGGCATTCGCCTTGCTGTGTGCATCTGCCGCGCCTTTGGATCTACTTAAAGGGGCAGGTACTTAGCAAGTGGTTAGTAAGCCTGGTTACCCCGACTTGTAACCATGGAAAGTGGGTTACAACATTTTGCAACCGTGGTTATTGCCACGTACTAAGTACAGTGCCCCTTTAAGTAGGGCCGAAAGAGGCAGATGCGTATACCCAGCATTCCAAAACTGTTTGAATGAAGCTCAGTTCTGTTGGCAAACATCGGCCTATGGCAGCCTTCAGTTGCTGAGGTTCAAACCAGACTACGTTCATCCCTTCATGAACATCGATGCCACGGTGGTGCCGGATAGTGCTGGGGCCTCAAGATCTCGAGGGAGTGGCAGGCCTCAAGGCCTATGTCAGCGTTGAACACGCCATCAATCGAATATGCTCAGTTCGGTCGGTTTTAGAGGGACATCAAGCTTAACCCGGGCAGAAGGCGGCGGAAGAGGTTTCTTCTCGAGTTTTGAACACATTCACCTCCAGTTCTGGACGATGCTGTGGCGAAGGTGAGGCTTCAGAAAGGCCCTGCCATGGATTTGAGCTTTTCGCAATGCGCAACCAGAACACTGGAAACAGCACAGCAGTGCGCAATCAAGAACTCACCCGGCAGGTACAGCAGCAGAGAGCGAGCAATGTCGCAGAATTGCCAAGACTTGCTATAGACTTCATAGGACCATCACACCCTCCACAGACTCCTTTTTCATTTTTTTCCGATATGGAACCCTCTTTTTTTTGAAAGGCGGTCTCCATGGCTTGCAAAACCAGGTGAAGCCCATCCCGCCGCAGTGGGTCAACGATGTGGAGCTGGATGAGTTCGGGCTGCGGGCCGAGTCGTACCCAAAAAAAGGGGTGAAAGGGAAAACCACTAGTTTGGGGATCACCGATTTGAGATACACCCCCATGGAACCCTTGGATGCACAGTCAACATGTGCATTTTTTCCATGACTGGATCACAAAACACCCAGTTTGGTTGAGACCCATCCATGGGGTGGGTTGGCGTGCCATTTTTTCTTGGCTCATGGGGCAGGATCGAAAGCGCTGGGCTGATCCAAGGATGTAGAACCCACCGTAGATCCGGTTCTATAAACGCAAGGAATTGCCACGGCCAGCAAGCTGGCCTTTAGCTAGATCAAGGGGTCCGTGCGGCCATTCCCCACCCGGTCTGCCAGTTTGGTTGTCAAGTGATCAGATGGCTGTCAGAGTGGGCTCAAACGCCTAGCTGATACGATCACGTCGCCAGATTTCCGTGGAGGGGAAAAGTTCGGCCCGTGGCCTTGGGGTGTGAGCTTAGCGAAGCATCACTCTGGTATCAGCCAAAAAAAAATGGGCAAAGGCCGTTCCTCACGCACCAAGCCCGGTTTTCCAGGGCCGAGATGGGGGACGTCATTGGCGAAGGGCCCATCCTGTCCTGGAGCCCCGAGGAGCCTCCCTGGCTGGGAGGTCGGCGGACGAATAGGCTCTGAATCTGTTCGTGTTTTGGTCCAACCATCCGAGACTGGACTAGGTCCCCCAGTAGTACTACAGAAAAAAATCGGGTACCCTTGTTCTAATCTCTACTGGAGGACCTAGTAGAGAAAAGGACCATGCTTTACAGCTTGCAATGCACTCACGGCATCCTCTTTCCAGGTTTCAGTCAAGATCCGCAGCAGTCTGCAGGATGTGCAAGGTCGCATTTGACTTCATGTCAAGGTGGATACCTGTAGATCTCCGGCCAGCATCTCATAAGCTAACCACCATCAATGGCATCTCGCGCCTGTCGGACTTCATGATTTGATGACTGACCTTTGAATCTGCACAAGCGCTGTTGAAGAACACCTGTTCCTTTTGCACGCCTGGACTTACAACATCCTCGACAATTTGTGTGGGGCTTGAAAGGGGAAGATTGCGTGTTGTTCTTTCTTTTTTTTTTGGGGGGGGGGGGGAAATTAGTTCTTGTGTGGGGAAGTGAAGCGGCTAGAAGAGACAGCAGGAGCGGGTGCCACTCAACGGTGGAAACGTGTAACCAACGGCTTGGAGCACTCGTGCCTTGCGCGCGAGCCAACATCCCTTTTGGGTTGGCGGGCGTAACTTTGAGACATGACCAAAGAGAAGATACGGGTATGAATTTGGGCTATGTTTTTAGGGGACCCCCCAAATGGCTTCGGTGGTCCTTTTGGTTTCCCTTTTGATACCAAAGAGAAAGAGGTACCGACTCCAAAGCCAAGCTTCTCGAGGAGCGCAAGCAGCGCTTCCTCGCGGCGCTGCGGCGGCTAGACCTCTCCGAGGCCAGTGCGACTTTCATCGGAATGAGCGGCGCGTCCCGTTGAGGGTACCCCTTCTGTGGGCTTAAAGGGACCAAGTGGGAAAACCACCCATTCTGGGGTGGTCCCCTAAAAAAGACACGCAAATGGTCGGTTTTCCCTGCTGGAGCTTTGCTCCCCAGCATTGGAGCAACAGTCATTCCGGTCCGTCCCAAACCAAGGAGTAGGGAAGAAACCAAGAAGAAGTCCACCATTTTGGGGGTCCAAATTCAAAAATGAGGCGTTGCTCCTTGTGTTAGTCCTTGGCCGGTTCCAGCTTCCCCCTTCCATCACGTGGATCCGCGCAGGAAGCGCTTGCTTCGAAGCGCATCAGCGCGATGGGCGAGGGGCCCCAACCTTGTCGGTGGATGCAGTGGTCTTACCAGGGAGAGATCCTCGTGCTGTTTGGTTGGCATTCCAGACAGACCAAATCCACTCTTTACTTTTTGGGCCCTTTGGTTTTGAGACCAACCCACAGGATCTGAGTGGAGGAAGAAGAAACCTCAAACACACACAGACAGACACTGTAAAAGGAATCTTCCTCATCTGTTTTTCGACTGGGCTGAATCGATGGATAGAATGCCGGTACTCCAGCCTTTGCGGTCATTAGCTTCCTGTCAGAAGAGTGGCATGGAAGGCTTCCTGCCTTCCAGTTCGCTGGGTGCTGGTGGCGCCAAGTTGGATGTTTTTCGTCTTCTCAGATCCTTGAGTTCGCCGTGGCTCACTTGATTGAGTGCGCGATTTTCTCACAAGCTCCAAACCTGCGGCATCATGGCGCGGTTTCGACGAAGCTGCTGCCCGTGATAGCAGACTGCATTTTGGCGGGGTCCGGCCGCGCTTCGTGCGTCTGAGGCAAGTCCGAGCTGGGCCACGAAAAGAAGCGGGTGAAGGCGGACGGCGCCTCAGCTTTTGGACTCGTAGCCCTTGCGTGGCGCCTCGTGGAGCTGCATCCTTCCGTTTGGGCAAGAGAAGCAGACACAAGGTCAATGTAAATCACATTTGCGACCTTGCTTATGCAAAGCAAAGCGACAAGGTGCCCTCCAACTCTCTTTTCACAAGGGCGAGCACCCAGTGTCGTAGCTCTGCCTGTGAGTCCTGTGTTCCGGTGAAGCGATCAGTCCGTCCCTTTTCGTTGTCAACTCCATTGACAAAAGACCACCCCATTAATATGACTTCTCAAGAGCTATGTACCAGCAGCTTGGATGATCCATGCTACTCCTTCTAGATCATTTGAGGTCGCGTTTGAAAGACCCCCCCAGCCAAGAGGTACTTCACGCTCTAGGCTTGCGCACAAGTTCTGATTCACTGGGATGTTCTTCAATAGTGACAGGAATGACATTCCAAGCCTCCATGATATGGTTTCAGTTGAACAGGATGCAGGGCAAATCCCCCACCCGCATCGAAATGATCCAATTTTTTGTTGGATCCTGGCGCTCCAAAGTTTTGACCCATTGTTCTGCCCCGAGTTTGCCACCATTGGTCCCTCCTCCAGAAGCAACCAGGGAGCTGACGGTGTTCGCCGACTGAGCCTTGAGCCACCCCCCCTGACTGGGTCTGAGGAGTTGAAGCGATACGACACGGACTGGAAGAAGCAGCCCGCAGCCCTGGTCGAACAGAAAAAGGCGCCCCGTGATTGGGGGTGTCTTTTTGTTGAAAATACCCCTTTCTTGGTGGTTTTTTTTATTGGGCAACCAAAAGGGGGCCACCACCATTGGGGACTGTCCCCAAAAACGTGTGACACCCAATTGGACATTGCTCTTCAAGGCGACTTCATGGTCGCTGAGGCAAAAAGTTGGCGCAGAGGCGCAGTTCGGCAGTCTATATGGGTGTCTCTCAAAATTAGGAACTCCAGGTAGGTGGTGTCCGCTTGGTTTCCCTTCAAAACCACAAAGGGGTCCCCTATTTTGAGAACTCCCCCATGTGGTTGAACTGGGAAGGGTGTGTGCTCGAACAAAAGCTCGCAGTCTATGCATTTAGCTCCGCCAAGCTGCCCCATTGGCATGTTGAGCATCTGAGGTTCAAAGTGCTGCCGAATCACTCCCAGAAAGAGGTCATGAGACCTCTGTACTTGTATTACAGGCTTGCTGCCGGTCGCCCCGGGGACCCCGCGGGTTCTCAGACGTGAAAAATTCCCCAAATGCAACCAGGAGTTACTAGTACCATGCCTGCCTGGAGGCAGTGACTGACAGGAGAATCCCCTCCTACCCCAAGAAGGGTCAGGTAGGCCGGGCTCGCTGTGAGGTGTCCGTCTCAAAATCTGGAAAGTTTGCAAACTGCGTTTTGCTTGGGTGCTCGCTTTCAAACGTCTCCAGTATCTCTATCAGTAAGTCTGCCATTCAAGTACGTTGAGACACACCAGTAATATGTTTGCTTGGTCCCTCACTTTGTTCAGCTTGAATTTACGGAAAAGGAAAGTAGTCTACACTTGGACATCCATATAGCTCCAGGTGCTTCAAAAAAAAAGATACCTTTGTGTTACAGACCAAACGCTGGAAAACGATAGGGGACTCTCTAGATTCGAACGTACTTATATACTGTGAACAACAAATTTTGACGGACCTTCAGCTGGAATTTGAACTGACACTGAGACCTCAGCTGCTGAGTTTCATGTGGGACAGGTTCTTCGTGAGTCTATTGGGGATCTCTTTTGAGCAATCACGGTTTTTAATTGCAGGTCAGTAACTCAAGTCCGGAGACGGTACCTGCAGTCCCAAGTTTGATTGGTGCGAGCCAGGAAGCTGAAGAATCAGCTCGCTAGCGCAGACTCGGGCGGCCGAGGCGCGAAAACATATGATGCAGGAAGTGACCAGATTAGCTAGATTTAGTTTGTCCGTACATGCGTTTGGATCATTGAACATTGGGTAGCAGGTTGGTGCCAGGATGGTCGATCAGTGCTAGCGCTTTCATTTTAAGCCCTCGAACTTTTGCGGTTCCCGGTTGCAGGTTGGCCACCAAGTCACTTAGGGCCATTTTGTTGCTGAACGCTGAGGGTTGAACTTGGCAGTTCATTGGTTGGTGGCCAAGGTTGATCCTAGCCTTGAGCCATCAGCTGCTTCGTGCATGCCTGGTTGCCTGTGACGGCTAAGAATTTGGGGGTTGGACCCAAAGCGGAAAGCTGGGGACCTGGCTTCCGGCTTTCGCGGGTTCTGTTGAGAGGGGTTGTTAGGAAAACCGATCGCTGGGACTGCAGCTTGCCCATAGCATGCGGGAAACAATGATGGCCGATGTGGTTAGACGAGCACTGCATATTCTATCCTTCAATTGAGTACAGGGAGGGGGAGCCTGACTTCAGTGCAATCCAGAGTCAATGGAATTTTTGCCAGCTGGCAATGCTGGGGAGAATCCTTTTTTCGTCATCGCGGTTACCTTGAGAAAGATCGACGCTGCCCCCGATCCAAAGTAGGGGGGACCCACCGACCAAATTTGCGGTTTTCCTTCTGGTCGCCCTTCGTAGACCAAGGTAAAATGGGCGATGACACCCATTTCAATCAGCCTGCCTGCCAGACCAAGAAAGCGACGATGACATGATGAGCAGGCGCTTGAACAGCTCTTGTTGGGACGCGATCGACCATAGAAAGGATGACACTTGGCTCAAAAGGATGACATGGAAACACCCTGCACACTTGGTACCTGGTAAAATTGGGCATTTGCAGTTGCCTGCCGGGTCAAACCATTTGCGCGAGGGTAAGCCAGGGTGCTACGGCACCTGATGCTTGCGAATGGTCATTGCCCATCACCGGAAAGTGACATCCTGGTTTCCTTTGTCACGACCTATTGCGAAGTTGCTTTCCAACACAACCAAGTGCATCAACTGGTCAAGATGCATTAATTATCATGCCTCTTCACACGTGGCTAGCACATCGTACTCACCAAATGCCCATGACGGTGGGCATAATGGACTTTAGCTGTTTCTCATGTAATGAGCAGATGAGAGGGACCATCACGTGTCCCAATACTCCTTTCTCTCCATACTCAGTGCGCCTCCATTTCAAGCCGTGATTTCAAGTCCATGCGAATCAGCCGCGTGTTGGTTCAGGGGAACATTTGGGGGTTGATTATTCCTGGCCCCAAAATGACAATGGGTAACTTTTTCCATTCAGTGATGAAAGTCATTTTTGGTTGTTAGTGATTCCCCTCATGGTCGTCCCATGAAAGGACCTTTTGATCAACCACCACTTTGCTGGCAAAGCAACGCGAATCGTATTTCATGCACTTCCTGGGACCTGCCGATGCCAGGGGTGGGCCTGATAGCGCGTGCTGGCCTTGGCACGCGTTTGTTTGCTTTTGTTGTTTGCTTTTGTTGTTTGTTTGTGTGTTTGTTTGTTTTGCTTTGTTTGTTTGTTTGTTTGTTTGTCAGTCTGTTTGTTTGTTTGTTTGTTTGTTTGTTTGTTTTGCTCGTTCGTTTGTTTGTTTGTTTGTTTGTTTGTTTGTTTTGTTCGTTCGTTTGTTCGTTTGATTGTTTTGTTTGTTTTGTTTGTTCGTTCGTTTGTTTGTGTTGTTTGTTTTGTTTGGTTTTTCGTGCGTTTGTTTATTTGCGCGTTTGTTTGTTGTATTTGTTTTCTTGCTTTATTCCTTCCTTTGGTACGTACCTCTTAAGTCGAGGGCACCCCATTTTTGCGGCTTTTAAAGCGAGACCAACAGGACAACCACATTTTTTTTTTTTTTGGGGGGGGGGGTAAAAAGGCACACACCCGTCTGTTTGTCTGTCTGTCTGTCTGTCTGTCTGTCTGTCTGTCTGTCCGTCCGTCCGTCTGTCTGTCTGTTTGGCTGTCAGTCAATTGCAGGTTGGTAGGCTGCTTTTGGCCTGTTGGCATTTCAGCATCCACTTGATGCTGATTTGGTTCGGCTGATTCGCAGTGGCAGTTTCATTCCCATCTTGCCAGTCGCATTTTTTGCGAGACGGCATTTACTGGATGGATAGTGCAAGCCGCAAATGCAAGATTGCCGCAACGTCTCGACACACGCAAATATGTCACGCCGGTTCAATGCTCAATTTAGCCTGCTATGCCTGCTCCCTTTCGAGCACAGCTTATTGGGCTTTGCCTGGGCAGAAGCTTGGTTTGGGAAAAAGCCTTGCTGGCCCATTTGCCCCTGTTGCTTTTGCGTTGGTCGACGAAATTTAATCTGCTCTTTGTTGCAATGCAAGAACAAGCGTCAATACAACTTTATCGACAGTTTGATTGCGCCTTGACCATGTCGTGGGCAATTGAATTGCTGATTCCATTTTACATAGCTTGTTTAAACTGTCGAGCTCAAAGTGATGACCCTCTACCCTCTACCTTGCACATAAGCCCTATATGTGTTTAGTTTAACTCCGTTTGAATACTCGTTTTCGGGCTCCTGCTGCTGCTGCTGCTGCTGCTGGTGCTGCTGCTGCTGCTGCTGCTGCTGCTGCTGCTGCTGGTGTTGAGCTGGGGTTGACCAGGCTCAGTCAATTCTACGATTTGTATCCCTTTGCTGCCATGCGAGGCGTTCGACCAAGCACAGCGCTCAGCAAAATTCGTGGAGTTTGCACCAGGATCAAACGGGCGAATTGAATTGGCCCATGGCCAGTCACCACCGTGGAAGGCTCGACGATGCGATGACGTGTGCCAGTGATATGAGTGAAATTGCAAAGCTTGCTCAGCTAGCCCACAATCCGGATGGCTTATTCACTCATCCACGGGTTGGCAAGGTGAACCCTTACTGCAAGCAACTAGGGAATCATCTTCCGCGGCCCAGTCAGGCTCCTCGCAAGGCCGTTCCCTATCGCTGCTGGCAAAAAGCACACACTTGTATCTTGCTAACATACCCGAAGGTTTCTCTCCATATCTCCTGCAGCGATCAAGCAGAACACCTTTCCTCATAGCAACTCGTTTTTCAAGCACAAGAGCGCTTGGCAGGAAAAATGTGCTTGATGGGAACTTTCTCAAATGTGTGTATAGAAGAGGCGCCGAGGCCATTGTGGCAGGCTAGGCTTTGGCGAAGTTCTCATGCAGCCACAGTCCATTCAACAACCTCCGTGTGGGTAGGCTCCCGGGTGATTTCGCAGCGGCCATGTGCCAAGCCTGGCGTAGCCGAGGAAGTCCTCTAGAGAGAAGGCTGAGCAGCAAATTGCACAGCTGGAGGCGGCACCGGACGCGCTGTGGTGTCTTAGTTGGGCTGTTCAAAGGACATCCTTAATCCTTACCTTCGGTTACGCAACGGGGTCCCTGTTTTAGTGGCTTCCTTATAGGGATTGTGGATTAGGATTGGCCAACCCTCCATTTTGAACAGACTAGAGGGAGGGGATCCTTCTGAGGACAATCTTGAAATCCAAGAGGCTAACGGAGGTTCCTTTTGACGCATACTATGAGCGAGCTAGCAAGGCATATGGCTAAAGTCCCCCAAATACTTCCAGGCACGCCAGACCTTTAGTGTATCCCATGTCGGTTGAGAGGTTCTGTGTTGGTGTAGGGTTGGTTTAGGAAGGATTTTGCTTTAGGGCCCCGTTCTGCAGCAAACAAGCACGGTCGGTTGTGTCATTCCCCGGAACTCAGGCGCAACCGAGAGGCAGTCCAAACGCGTGTTTCAACCAGATGTATAATTACAACCCAGCCCCAAACTATGAGACTATGAGCAAAACCTGAGACGAGACGGTCTTGTTTTTTGCCGCGATTACTTGAATTTGAACAGGGCTCTCACGCCCTTATGATTTTTTGTGACATGGCATGATATGATATGTCTCTTTACAGGGGTGTTTGGAGGGTAGTGCATCCTTCAAGGAGCCTGCGTACTTACCCAGCAGCCTTTCTGTTGTCGTGGCTTCTGTGACTTGAGCGAGGCTCGGGCGAACACGCTGCAGCAGGAGAAAGGCCTTGAGGGGTGTTACAAGAACGTGACTCAGGGTCCAGCAACCTTACGTAAATCTAGCAACCAGCATCATCCAGCGGTGATGTGTGAATTCTTCCAAGTCATTTGGCCAAAGTCCAAGGATAACAAAAAAAGGCCTGGCACAGGGACCAAGGGTCGAGCCACGGGAAATGGGACGACTTCGATTCGGATCAGGTGCGATCCGCACAAAGCTCAAGGAGTTCCAGGAGAGCAGCGGCCTGAGATCTTGGCCCGTGTTTTGATTTGAAACCCATGCGACTTTTCACGATCCGTTTTGGGGGGTCGAAAAAAGCCGAGCCGGCGATTTGCTAGGAGTTGGACCCCTCTCCGGATATGATGAATCTGGCGGGATGTTCTGCCTAGTTTGCGGTTGCCTCATTGGCACTCAGGCAAGAAAGAACTGAGCGCAATACTAACAGCTCGGCCTCACTTTGTCGCCGTGTGACACCGAAAAGGCCCCTTGCCTACCAGCAAGACAGCACATCCGAGGATGGAACATGACTTTCAGAAGCAGCGCACAAGCCCATCTGACTTTTCATGCTACCTCAATCCACGCCCTGGCGAGTAGAGCTGTTAAGTTGGAGAGCAGTTTCGGAAGCTGGTGACATGCATTTCGGTTTCCTTGAGAGTTTCCTTTTCACACTGTCAACCAGGGACCAGCTCATGTTTGACGCATCTAAGTAAGCGAATCAACCGGCTGAGTTGGGATGCACCTGAGCCGATCTTGGTGCTTCCTTGCTCACGCTCGAAAGGTTTTTGGCAGACTTGGTTTGCGTTTCTAAACTCGAAGCCCCAAAGGTGTGCCGATTGCACAGTTCTCCATCGTTTTCAATGGCCCACGTCTCATTTCCCTTCCCAGATTTCGTCCTGCAGCACCACCGGAAGATCCGGTTTCACAAGGCAGGGGCCGACCGGCCAATCTCGGAGATCCTCAGCGTGCCTTTGTTCATGATGCCATGTTCGGATCCGCCTGCCTTTCCTTTTCCATTATTGGCTTTTTGCCTTGCATGTTGGGAGGCAAGCAACCAGAATACAGATATGTTGATATGTTGATATGTTTGTTGTGGCACGGCAGCGGGCCCGCTCAAGTTAGCGGTCAGATGGTGTTCGGGGCGGCCAACGCACGATGTGTCAGGGACAACCAGACGCTTTGGAGCCAATGTTGGGGAGTCACTAGAAACCGTTGGCTGTTTGGCTCACTCCGCTCGAGCTGGCAGGACATCCTTCCCATCGAGAAGGAATACCGCATGTACAAAACCATCAAAGAGGATCTACAAAAGGCGAGAGCAGTCCAGCGGCGCTCGTTTGTGCCTGTGGTCTCTTGAGCATCCTTTTTTGAATCTGTGTTTTTGTTTGATCGCTCAAAGCACAAGATTGGTCCCAAGCTCAGTTGAGTCAGGATTCATTGTCACGACAGGCAGTCGGCCGCATGATCGGTCGACAAAAGATGCGACTTCAGCAAGGGTTCCTCAACTCTGAAGGCCACTCCACCTACCCCACACCCAACACCTGACGGCGAAACACAGCCATCTAGGCCAGCCGGCCCTAACGGAATTGTGATGTTCTGTCTTGGTTGTTGGGTCCTGGAAATGGACCCGACATTATTGTGGGACGGGGCTCCATCGATACGCCAAGCAATCCTTTCTGGCTTGGGGGATTCCCTTTTTGGTGAGTCAGGGAGAAATGAAAGACAGCAATCCATTGAGATTCAAGCTCAGCTTAGTGGGGAGGCGGATTGGACAATCAGGGCAAGTGTCCCACATTCCCTGGCTCTGAACGGAACATTCATATATGTGATTAGCCATGGTTAACTTCATCATCAGGGACGTCGCGGTAGTGACCGACCTGTGATGTTTGGCTCAAGTTTGCGGGTCCGTCGCGCCTCGGATGAGCGTCGCCGGGTCCCCGCGTCGATCACCTTCGTGTCGGTGGAGAAAGAGACATCGGCCCGGGGCAGATTGGTGGGGTCCGCCCGTGCGGTTCATCGTCGATCAAGGTTGCGGGTACTTGTTTACTTGTTTTGGTTTTTCCCTTTTGGTTGTTGTTCTCTGGTGTGTGGGAAACCCTGATCTTTGGGACCGGGGATTGGTTTGCTTTTGGGGAACCTTTCTTTTGTGGCTTGTTTACCCCAACTTACCCATTGCCTGGGCACAGGCTCGTGCCCGAATCACAGGTTATCAGCCGTAGGACTTTCCTACGCGCTTGAGACCATCAACTACAAGCTCTATGTCGACCCCACGATCTCGAAGGAGCGTCGTGGATGAGGAGGCCATCCTAGGGGGCCTCCGCTCAGGTGAGGACCTACCGGACTACGACTACGAGGATTTCGAAGCAGGTTCGACAGGTCAGGATCGCAGGGGTGAAGATCCCGGTAGGGACACACCCAGGAGCCGTGGCAGGTACACCGACGATGGAGACGATCGCATTTTCCGTCAGGCCACTGATGATGAGCAGACACGAAGGGTTCGCTCCGATAGGAGCGGCTCTGAATCAGGTCACAGGCGCGGACAGTTCGACTTCATCAGCATGGCGATGAACATGGCCCGCCCTCATTCGGACGACCCGGAGGCCATGCCGACCCGACCCCCGAGACCTCTTGTTCCAGGTGAATCGCAGGTCTCGGATGAGTTTGAGGACAGGCCGCAAGGACCAGGGACCATGGTTTTGGCTCCGAGAGATATCTCGGGTCGATCCACTGGTTCTCAAAATCCAGGTCAGTTTGATGAGCATGAGGAGAGGAAATTCACAGGCTTCGGATACGATGCTCTGTTGAAATCAACCGCAGGCTGGCCCTGTGAATCCGTCAAGACAATTTGCGGGGGCAAGACATTTTTTACCGTGAAAGTTATTTTTTACCGTGGGCAGTTTTCTTACCGTTGCCGTTGCCGTTGCCGTTGCCGCGAAAAGTTAATTTTTTACCGGGGAAATTGCCGTGGCTGTTGCCGTGGCTGTTTGCCAAGGTGCAGTAGTTTCGCAATAATTCCTTCCAAACTACTGCGAAATTTTCTCAGCGCAGTAGCTTCGCAGTAGTTAGCTCCAAACTACTGCGGAATTAGCTCCAGTGCAGTAGTTTCGCAGTAACTACTTCCAAAATAGCCGTTGCCGTTGCCGTTGCCGTTGCCGTTTTTGTTGCCGCGTTTTTTGCCGTTGCCGTTGCCGTTGCCGTGAAAAGTTAATTTTGCAAGTCAATTAAGAAGTCACTAATTGCCGCGAAATGGGAATTGCCGTGAAAGTTAATTTTTACCGTGGGACTCTCTAATTGTCTTGACGGATTCGTTGGGGGGGCAGTAGCGCAAAGCAGGAGTCTGATGCCGATAGGCCCAACCCTGTCGCTGCCGAGTTTGAGTTTGATAATGATGAAGATTATGCCGCATGTGCGGATCGTCGTGATGAAGAAGAGGATCAGTCGCGCCGGAATGCTAGAATCCGTGCTGCCGCGAGGCCCAGGAGCCTCTCTCGTGGAGCTGCCAGGGACCTTCATGTTGACAGGGACGCCCGGAGCGAGAGAGAGAGAGCCAGGGATGGCCGGGAAGTTCTTAGGGGATTGGAGGCCATCCATGACCGGGAGGGACCGATAGGTCCCCCAGTGATTGGTGATACCCCGAATGTTCCCCCTTTTCCCAATATTACATGTGGAGGTCCGCTGCATCAGAGAGACGAGAACTCGAACCGGGTTACTGGTTCGCCGAGGATCACTGAACGGGCTGCCGATGTCGTTGGGACAGGTGCAAGAGATGGTCGGCTTGCCGATGCACTCGGAATCGAAGATCGTCCGTCGATCGCTAGCCCGTTAGGGCGAGATACCAGTGACCTTGAAACGCTAAGGTCTAGCAACGAGTTCACCCCTCAATGGGGCTCGACCGCCAGGGAACGTAGTGCTTCTGCGAAGAGGCCGTCACCTCTGGCCATTGAGACCGATAGGTCAAAGGCGAGGAGGGCTAGTCCCTCACCAATGGGTTCAACTCCGCAGGATGAGGAGATGCCTGATCCTGCTGATGTTCACATTCACTCTACTCCCGAGTCTCGTGCATCCGGCATTGATCCCCGATTTGGCGATAGCCGAAGAAGGGGATCTACCCCTAGCAGGCCGTCCAGGATAGGTGATAGTCCTGTAGGCGAACCCAGAAGACTTGCTAAAGCTAGTGGGGCTCCTGAGAGGATCGAGATATCGACTCCTCCAGCACGCAGGTCCCATTCTTCCGGTGAGTCAGGTGACGCCAGGGCAAAGGAGGTGTTTGATTTGCACATCCAGGAGATGCTCGAGAGGGGTGAGGTGTCTAGTTCAGTCGCGAAAGCGTTCCATATCTTTGCTGACCAAATCAGGTTACTGAACGGTCAGGTGGGTTCCATGCGAAAGGAGTGGAGCGACGAGAATCAGCAGACGAAGGACAGGGTCAATCGTTTGGCGACTGAGGTTGCGACTCAATCTGATGCCGGTAGGATGCGAATGATAGTTCAACGGTTTGCCAGCGAAGTTATTCCTGACAGCAAGGCCATTGTGAGGCAAGCCATCGATGAACAGGCTGAAGTCGTGGATCAGAGGATCAATTTGCTTTCCCACGAGGTTCATGAATCTGTTAAGGACAATGAGATCGCAACTGATCAGCTTCGTCAGATGATTCGAGAGAATCGTGAGGCCACCCGCAGGAGCCATGCTGCTTCCGAGGATGAGATCCTTAAGGACTTAGACAAGCTCGAGGGACGGATGATCTCGGTAGAGAAAACCGTTGGGATGCGGACGCCAGCAGGTGGGCTACCAGCAGTGGGGCAAACGCGAGTTTCAGGGAGTTAAACCTGAAGCTCGAGAAGGTTCTTCTTGAACACGAGAAGTTTGCTAAGTGGGCCTCCGAATCTATTGGTGGTATTAATGAAGAACAAATCATTCTTGCTGATCGAATGTCGAGGCTGCAAAGTGGGAGGGGGTCCCAGGCGGTCGATAGACCATCAGGGCCTGTTTCCCCGCAGGAGTGGCATGAAGCAATTGACGAGGTCAATCGAAAGGTCCAGGATCTATCTCGCGGAGTTCAACGCCAACATCGGGATCATGATGATGTCATCGCGAGATTTGAGACCGTGAAATCCCATGTTGAGCAGTATGAAGCGAGATCGGGAATTCTGAACCGGGTCCTTGATGACATCAGAAGTCAGATCCGTAATCTCCCTGCGAATAGTGATCAAGCGCGGTCTGCCGTTAGGCGTGAACTCGATTCATTTCGGAACACGCTTGAAGGCGCAGTGCGGAGAATCACTACTGTCGAGAGTAACGTGCGTACTCTTAATGGAATGAACAACAGAATCATGGCCCAGCTCTCTGAAATTGAAGGTCATGTTGATGAGGCTGCTGACATTATTCAGGGTGTCCAGGACAATCAGATGAATCCTCAACAACCCAGAGAAAGACGGAATGTTGGATACAATGCTTTTGCGGGGCAGGGACATAGAATCAGGTCTCCGACGCCCACTCCCGGAGAAGGTAACGGTCGGGGTACTGGCCTTCCGGTGAGACCGGGTGGGGGTGTTGATTTGGCTGATCATGTTTTGCCAAATGTGCCCGGTAGGGTCGATCCTTCTCATGCAGGCAGGCATCCCATTCATCCCGATAGGGAGAGGGCTGACAGCAGAAGCAGGAGGGCTCGGGGACTGCCCGACAGGTCGCATTCCCCGCCAGGGCGTGCGAGGGATGGCCCCCGCGCGCGCGCAAGGGGGGACATTTCTGTTTCTCCCAGCAGGGGTGTGGGTAGGAATAGGAGCCCGAGGCCTGCTGCCGTCCCCGATAGGGGATCTGAGGTCCGGAGTCGGCAATCGAGGGGGGAAAGGCCAATCCGCGATAGCGGGAGCATTTCTCCGAACCTGGATAGGCCGATCCGCGATAGCGGGAGCGTCTCTCCGAACCCAGACCGTCATCTAGGAGGTGGTAGGGGTAATAGGGCCCATGCCGACATCCAGAGTCCCGGCGATAGCTGGTGGGAGTAGAGCTCGTGCCGATGTCCAGAGTCCCGGCGATAGCTGGAGGACCCTGGAACTCCATCCGATCGTGGACGGGCCTCGGCACCGGCCGCAAGAGGAGCTCCCGGTACCGGTGGCCCAGGTGCGCCAAAGATCTGTGCCAACGACCGTAGGCACCCGGACGCTGAATTCTCGTGTGTTACGTGCAATCGTGAGTTTTGCAGGCTTTGCCGGGGCGACGATGGGGACTGTTGCAATTGTCACTTCTTGAAGATGAAATGTTGGGCATGTCGTAAAAGTGCCCAGGAGGTCTCTATGTATTCCTGCACGGAGT